CATGTGTAGCAACATGGATGGACCTTGAGGGTGTTATGCTGAGCGAAATAAGTCAGGCAGAGAAGGACAAATATCATATGTTTGCACGTATAGGAGGATTAGGAGGAACTTGATGGAGGAACAAGGGGGAGAAGAAGGGCGGAAATGGTGGGGGAAAGGGAGAGAGGCAAACCATGAGAGACTCTTGAATGCTGACAAAAACTGAGGACTGATGGATGTGGGGGGGAGGGGGGGATGGGCATGGAGGAGGGCACTTTGGGGATGAGCACTGAGTGTTATGTAGAAACTAATTTGACAATAAACTATTTGTAAAAAAAAAAAAAAATGGAGAGCAAACTGAGGATTGCTGGAGGGGTGGTGGGTGGTGGGATGGGTTAATTGGGAGATGGGCATTAAGGAGGGACCTTGCTGGGATGAGCACTGGGTGTTATATGTAAGTGATTAATCACTAAACTCTACTCCTGAAACAAATACTACAGTATATGTTAACTAAATTGAATTTAAATTAAAAATACAATTTTGGTTTCAGAGTAAAAAAAAAAAAATAAAGCAGTAGAAAGCTCAAAAAAAACAAAAAACAAACAAAAAAATCCTTTAATGGCTTTCAGTTAGGTACTTGGAAATGTCTCATGTCCTTTTTACGGCGAATAAGTTCTTTCATAATCTAGGTTGCACTTATCTGTCCAAACTAGTATTTTACCCTCACTAACATTGAACTTTTATTCCAAGCATATATATATATATATATATATATATATATCATGCTTTTTGTCACATCATTGTTTTGTTTATACTTTCCCCACTATTTCAGAGAGTTTTGTCATCCCCTTTGTTTGACTGACTCTTCACCGTTGCTTATTAGAGTTGAGGGCCACTTTTTCTAGTAAGTTCATTAAATACCCAGGCTCTATTAGATATCTCTTCTCTGTGTTTCCACAATAACTGCAAAACTTTTTCATTATAATTGCCACATTGTATAAATGTATGTTTATTTGCCTGTCTTGTGACTTTAGTGTGACCTTAGATAGGAAAGGTTACTCTGTATCTAGTATCTAGCAGAGTATCAGCTTATAAGTAAGCACTCCATAAATGCTGTGTCAGAGATGATAGGGTACATGAGTGAGTAAGCGAATGATTCCTAGGGAAAACAAAAACTGCCTTTGGTCATGCCACTAATATTTACCTCTAGTACATTGTAATCATTTATCTGCAGCAGTTCTGAGCAACAGGGAGGATCAGAGTATATTAGCAATAGACCAGAGCTGAAAACAGACTTTTCTTTCCTAGACACTCGTGTTCAAGATTCCTAACATCACCAGAATGTAGGGCCTTCAGAGAATTAACTTGTATGGATGGTGTTTTCTATCCTCTTTATGAGGACTATAATAGCTGAGTAAAAAAGTGTATTTTTCCATGGGCCAGACTTTATGATTCAAGGGTCAAAGGCCAGCTTACTAAAATGAAATTGGTGTCTTAAAACTAAGAATTAAGCAGTTAAAGTGAGCCCAAATGGTGAATAATGGTGAATAATGAAATTTAGCTTATTTCTGGTTTATGATTTTATAATTTTTTAAAGAATCTGCTTTGTATCTTAATTTTGCCTTATTTTATAGCTAAAGGGAAGGCTGATCTAAAAACATTGGCGGATTCAGTAAAAGTTACAGGTCAGTGAGAAATTACTATAAATTTGAGAACCCAATTCTTTACACTAAATTATATTTTTTCTGACAAATATTTTACTTAAGTATGAAACACATAATTACTACATTCTATAATGTATCCAGCTTAAGAATTATTGCAAAGTGAACATACCTATTTAACTATCACCTGGGTCAAGAAATAAACATTATCAATAATAATAGAAGATCCACTATCCCACCTCAGTCACGTTCTCTGGACTCTCTGGAGGTAACTTCATTCTTTATTCTAGGACCACAGATTAGTTTCACCTGCTTTTGAAATTTCTATAAACAGAGTCATATGAGCTGTGTTCCATGTCTGTCTTCTTTCATTTAACATTATATTACATGTTATTCTCTGAGAGTTGTCCATATTGTTGCACATGCAGCAGCAGTTTGTTAATTTTCATTGCTGCATATTATACAGTCTACCAATTTATAGTCAAGGAGATCTTTAGAGAACCTGGTGTAGTAGGTAAAATGATTTCTAGCGAGCTCATTGTACCTGAATTGCTGTGCAATATTCCACTGTGTCAGTAGACCACAATATGTGTATCCAGTCTACCATCACAGGACATTTCTAGTTTGGAGCAGTTATAAAGAACATATTGCTATGAATATTCTTGTATATGCCTTTTGGTGAACATATGTGCATAATTCTAGGCCATCTACCTAGAAATGAAATTGCTTTAAGATAGAATTGTGTGTACTTGATCAGATGTTGTCAATCTATTTTCTATAGTAGCTGTACCATTTGACACATCACATCAACAATTGCTTTACATCCTTGCTAATACTTGGTATTATCTCTCTCTCTTCTCCACTGTAGCCACTCTGATGAGCATGCAGTAGTATCCCACTGTTATAATTTGCATTTCCCTAGTGATTAATGATGTTGAGCACCTTTTTCATGTTTATTGGTTATTTGGATATCTCTTCTCTAAAGTTCCTTTCATGGCTGTTGCCTATTTGTCTGCTTGGGTGTCTGTGTTCTTTGCATTGGATTTTTAAACATTTTTTATTTGTTTTCTAAATTCAAGTACATTTAGCATAAGATGTCATATATGTTTCAGGTGTACATTATAGTGATTCAACAGCTCAATACATTACTCAGTGCTCATCATGCCAAGTGTACTCTTTAATCCTCATTACCTATTTCACCCATTTCCCCCCGCCCCCACCTGCCTCCTGGTAACCATCAGTTTGTTCTCTGTACTTCAGAGTCCGTTCCTTAGTTTCTCTCTTACTCTTTTTTTCCCCTTCGTTTGTTTGTTTTATTTCTTAAATTCCATGAGTGAAATCCTTTAATATTTGTCTTTCTCTGATTGACTTATTTCACTTAGCATATAGTCTCTAGCTCTATCCATGTTGTTGAAAATGGCAAGATTTCATTCTTTTTATGGCTGAATAATATTCCTGTGTGAGTGTGTGTGTATTGTGTATATATATATGTCTCATTGTAGTTTTGATTTGCATATCCCTGATGATAGGTGATATTGAGCATCTTTTCACGTGTCTTTTTGTCATCTGTATGTCTTCTTTGGAGAAATGTCTGTTTATGTCTTCTGTCCATTTTTTAATTGGTTTATTTGGGATATTTTGATGTTGACTTGCATAAATTCTTTATATATTTTGGATACTAACCCTTTATTAGAGTTGTCATTTGCAAATATCTTCTCCTATTCAATAGGTTGTCTTTTAGTTTTGTTGATTGTTCCTTTGCTATGCAGAAACTTTGTTTTGATGGAGTCCCAATAGTTTATTTTTGCTTTTATTCCCCTTGCCTCAGGAGACATATCTAGAAAAAATGTTGCTACAGACAATGTCAGAGAAATTACTGCCTGTGCTCTCTTCTAGATTTTTGTGGTATCAAAGTCTCATATTTAGGTCTTTAATCCATTTAGTTTATTTTTTTGTGTGGCGTAAGGAAGTGGTCCAGTTTCATTCTTTTGTATGTAGCCGTCCAGTTTTCCCAGCACCATTTGTTGAAGAGATTGTCTTTTTTCCCATTGTATAATCTTGTCTCTTTTGTCAAAGATTAGTTGACCATATAATTGTGGATTATATGCCTAAATATGCATTACATGCTTTCTTCCCTTTTCTATTAATCTATGGGTCTACTTTTATACCAGTACCATATTGTTTTGATTGCTACAGCTTTGTAGTATAATTTGAAATCTGGAATTGTGATACCACCAGCTTTGTTCTTTTTCAAGATTATTTTGGCTGTTTGGGGTCTTTTGAGGTTCCATATAAATTTTAGGACTATTTGTTATAGTTACTATTGGTATTTTGATAGAGAATGCATTAATCTCTAAATTGCTTTGCATACTATGGACATTTTAACAATATTTGTTCCTTCAATTCATGAGCATGGAATATCTTTCCATTTGTTTAAAGAATGAAATCTGGCCATGTGTAGCAACATGGATGGACCTTGAGGGTGTTATGCTGAGCGAAATAAGTCAGGCAGAGAAGGACAAATATCATATGTTTGCACGTATAGGAGGATTAGGAGGAACTTGACGGAGGAACAAGGGGGAGAAGAAGGGCAGAAATGGTGGGGGAAAGGGAGAGAGGCAAACCATGAGAGACTCTTGAATGCTGACAAAAACTGAGGACTGATGGATGGGGGGGGGATGGGCATGGAGGAGGACACTTGTGGGGATGAGCACTGAGTGTGATGTGGAAACTAATTTGACAATAAACTATTTGTAAAAAAAATAAAATAAAATAAAAAAATAAAATTGGTTAAAGAAGAAAAAAATTTTCATTTAAAAAAAAAAAAGGAATATCTTTCCATTTGTTTATGTCATCTTCAAATGTTTTCATCAGGATTTTATAGTTTTCAATGTATGGGTCTTTCACCTCTGTGGTTAAATTCATTCCTAGATATTTTGTTATTTTTAGTACAATTGAAAATAGGATTGTTTTTTAATTTCTCTTTCTGCTACTTCATTATCAATGTGGAAAAATGTGACAGATTTCTGTATATTGATTTTGTACCCTATAACTTGGCTGAATTCATTTATCAGTTCTAGTAGCTTTTGGTGGAGTCTTTAGAGTTTTATATATATAGTATCAGGTCATCTGCAGATAGTGTAAATTTTCTTTATTCTTTAACCATTTGGAGCTAGTGGGGTGTTAAAGTCCTCAAGTATTATATTGCTATCAATTTCTTCCTTTATATCTATTAATAGTTGCTTTCATGTATTTGGGTGCTTTCATGTAGGGTATATAAATATCTACAATTGTTACACCTTCTTGTTAGAGTGTTTCCTTTATCATTATGTAATGTCCTTCTTTTCTCTCGTTACAGCTTTTATAAAGTCTATTTTGTCCAATATAAGTATTGCTACCCCAGCTTTTTTTTGCCACTCCCATTTGCATGATAAATGTTTTTCCATCCTTCACTTTTATAATTTTTTTAATGTTTATTTATTATTGAGAGACAGAGAGAAATAGAGCATGAACAGGGGAGGGGGAGAATCCGAAACAGGCTCCAGGCTCTGAGCTGTCGGCATGGAGCCCAATGTGAGGCTCAAACTCACAAACTGCAAGATCATGACCCGAGCCGAAGTCGGACTCTTAACTGACTGAACCACTCAGATGCCCCGCTATCCTTTCATTTTTGATCTTTAGGTATAAAATCGTCTCGTGGGCAGCAAATACATAGAACTTGCTTTTTTATTCATTTCATGACCCCATGTGTTTTGATTGGAGTATTTAGTTCATTTACATTCAAAGTAATTATTGATAAGTATGTACTTATTGCTATTTTGTTACTTGTTCTATGATTGCTTTTGTAGTTCTTTGTTCCTTTCTTCTCTTGCTCTCTTCCCATGTGGTTTGATGGCCTTCAGTGATATGCTTGAATATTGTTTTCTTTTATTTTTTCCATATCTATTAAAGGTTTTTGATGTGTGGTTGCCATCAGGTTTGTATATAATATCCTATACATATAGCGGCCTATATTAGGTGCTGGCTGCTTAAGTTTGAACCCATTGTAAAAGCACTAAATTTCACCCCCCTCACACACACATATTTTATATGTATGATATCATATTTTACATTTTTTTATTTTGTGAATCCTTTGACTGATTTTTATAGCTATAATTGATTGTGCTGCTTTTGTGCTTTAATTTCCATATTGGTGTTATAAGTAAGTAATCTACCACTTAGGTTATGTTTGTATGCACCTGTGAAATTTTTCCCTTTCCTAATTTGCTTGCTCCTGATTATGGCCTTTCCTTTTCAAAGAATTCCTTTTAACATATTTTGTAAGACTGATTTAGTGGTAAGGAATGTCTTTTATTTGTTTAGGAAACTCTATCTCTCCTTCTATTCTGAATGATAATCTTGCTGAATAAAGTATTCTTGGTTGCAGGTTTTTTCCTTTCATCACTTTGAATATATCATACCACTCCCTTCTGGCCTGTAAAGTTTCTTCTGAAAAGTCACTGACTTATGGAGTTTCCCTTGCATATAACTTTTTCCTCTTGCTGCTTTTAAAGTTCTCTCATTACCACTACTTTTTGCCATTTTAATTATTATGTGTCTTGGTGAGGACTTCCTTGGGTTTATTTTGTTGGGGACTCTGAGTCTTCTGAGTCTGGATTTGTTTCCTCCCTCCTTTAGGGAGTTTTTCAGCTATTTTTTTCTTCTAATAAATTTTCTGTCCCCCTTTTCTCTCTCTTCTCCTTATGGGATTCCTATAATGCTGATGTTATTACATTTGATAGTGTCACTGAGTTCCCTTAACCTATTCTCATTTTTTATTATTCTTTTTTTTCTCCCTCCTATTCAGCTTAGTTGCTTTCCATTACTGTTCTTTCAGTAATGATCTGTTCTTTTGCTTCTTCTAGTCTACTATTATTCATTCTAGTGTGTTTTTAATTTCAGTTAATGAGTTCTTCATCTCTGGTTCTTTTTTATATTTTCTAATCTCTTTGTAGAAGTTCTCATTGTGACCCTTTACTCTTTTCTCACATCCAGTAAGTATCTTCATGACCATTGCTTTGAATTAGCTACCAGGTATATTGCTTATCTCTGTTTCATTTAGCTCTTTTGCTGCAATTTTGTCCTATTCTTTCATTTGGGACATATGCCACAGTTTCATTTTGTCTAACTGTCTGTGTCTGTTTCTATGTATTGGGAAAGTCAGCTATGTCTCTGATCATGAAACTAGTGGCCTTATGAAGAAGAAGCCCTGTAGTGTCCTGTAATGTAATGTCTCCTGTTCACCAAAAACTAGCATTTCAGAGGTTTCTTCTCTGGGTGTTGCATGACCTAGGGCTGTGGTTGAGCCACGTTTGCCATCAGTCCAGTCATCTGCAATGGCCTTCTTTGCCTGTTGTGGACGAGGTTTGGTCTGGGGCCACCTTGGGCTGGGTCAGACCAGATGCCTGCCTTGAGCCCATTTGCCAGAACGTTGGTCACACCAAACTTCAGGGTGCTCTCTTTGTGCTGAGATTTTCACTGGTGGGTGGGGCTGGCAGTCAGAGGTCTGTACCCAGCCCACAGCTGGGAATATACTCAAACATGTGTGTGTGATTATATTCCCTCTCCCAAGGCAAGAGTCACTTTGGAGTGGTCCTGGCCAGTGTTAGAGCTGCTTGCTGCTTACAGAATGAGAGGCATCTAGTGCTGCTTTGGATGGACTCCTGCCCAGTGGGGCTGGTTGGATGGGGCAGCCTGCAGGAGAATGCAGGGGTGGGGCAAGCAGTGTTAGCCAGCTACATGGCAAGTGTTCCAGCTGGTTCCTGCAGCTATCAGGGTATCTAGACTAGGGTGGGGTGTAGGGGAGAGAAATGGTGCCTGCCAGGTCTTTTATTCTTGAAGTCTCCTAAAGATCCCTGCGCCTCCAGGAGAAGTTCTGAGATTAGTAAATAAATCTCCTTTCTATATCTCCCAGCCACTTTTCAAACTGCTGCTTCTATGCTGTATCTCTGCAGGGTTGTTTGTTATGCTGTCTCTTTAATGGTGGAGATTGTTTCCTCTTGCACTCCAGCTCTCCCAGACCCAAGCCAAGTGATTTTTAAAATTCCATGTGGTAAGCTCCAGTGATTGTAAAAGTTGAAAACAAACAAACAAACAAAAGTTAAGCCCCTCTGGGTTTCAAAGCCAAATATTATGGGGATTCATCTTCACAGTGCGAGTCACCCATATCTGGGGTGCCTGGTATGAGATCTCTTCCTCTCCCTTTTCCATGCTTGTGGTGTCCCTCCCATTTGTGGTTAGTTTTCCTGGGAGTCTGGTTCTAGCCACGTCTCCACCTACTCTTATAATTTTTTTCATTGTGGCCTCTTCTCTTCAATTAGCTGTGGAGGGTCTGTTCTGACAGTCTTCAGGTTGTTTTCTGGGTTCGTTACACTGATGTGGGTGTACTTAGGTGTATCCGTGAGACAAGTGAGGTTAGAATCCTCCTCCTTTGCCATCTTTCCCAGAAATCCATATTGTATTTTTTATTTATTGTCTTTTACCTATAGTTTTTTATGTATTCTAGATACAAGTCCCTTGCAGGTTATGTAAATTGTAAATTTCTTACTCTATAGTTGACTTTTCACTTATATTTTATCTTTTTGTGATAGGGAAAAATGTTTTTTAATTACACACTCAATCCATTGGGTGTATTTCAAAATACACCCCAAAGCATTTTTCTTCATTTATCAGTGAAAGAAGTTAGAAATTAACATTAAAAAAATCAGCATATGGCAATCAAATTTCCCTGAAAGTCACAGTCACATACAGAGTGCATCCTAGAAAAGAGGAGGGGCAAGATAGGTTCTACCTACTTTTAGGAGTTTCATCATGTACTGGACCTACTCCTGGGTGGAGAGAAAAGGCAACTTTTTTTTTAAATATTTTTATTTATTTCTAGGAGAGAGAGAGAGAGACAGCGTGAGCAGGGGAGGGTCAGAGAGAGAGGGAGATACAGATTCTGAAATAGGCTCCAGGCTCTGAGCTGGCAGTCAGCACAGAGCCCAACGCAGAGCTCGAACCCACGAACCGCGAGATCATGACTTAAGTGAAAGTCGGACGCTTAACCGACTAAGCCACCCAGGCACCCTGAGAAAAGGCAACTTTTAAATAAGAGTATGTTACCAAATGAGGCATTTACTGTACTCCTTCCTAAGAGCATCAGGTAGGGGACAAGTGTTCTAAACTAGATCTAGGAAGTGGAATGTGGAGTCAATCCATCCTCCTCCCCTTAAGGGCTGTCTAATGGCTAATGAAGTTTTGAAAAATGACTAAATAAAAACAAATGCCCCACACACTCTCTCCTCCCACCCCCAAAAAAAGGAAAAAGAAAAAATCCTAGCTATCCCAGATTTTTCTCCAGAACAATGGTTGCTTTATGTATTTGGAGTAAGTGGGGGTGTTAAAGTCCTCTACTGTTAGTATATTGCTATCATTTCTTCCTTTATATCTGTTAATAGTTGCTTTATGTATTTGGATGCTGCTATGTTGGGTACATAAATATTTGCAACTCCAGAGTGGATGGAGCCTGGGAGTAGCTTTAACAACCCAAATTAGTCTATTACAGAATCATCACCAGCATGCCTTGCTTTTAAACAACAAAAAAATTTTTTTGAAGTGACAAAATAAAAACCTAGTACGAATCACTTTTCTGACAATACATAGTTAGTCAAATTAACTAATACTGAGAAGGGGACCACACCCATGGGGCCTTGCCTCACACGAATACTGGGTGGGTGCAAGGCATTTGTCATTACTGCAAAAATGAATTGTAATCTTTCATCTTTAGTTTAATTGAACATTGCTTTTAGTACAAAGCTGACACCAGCAGTGTAGAAAGATGTTCATAGCAGCACTTCTTCTTTGGTTCTGAAGGCTCCAGGGCAGCCAATATTGCCTCGTAACATACATTCTGTAGGCCTTTCTGTGAGTGCAGGACGCTCAACGTACTTGACCACCTTTAAGTCACCGGCCATCTTTTCACTTCACTTCAGCAATCTCTGGAGTGATAGGCTTCTGTTTGTTCTTGGCAAGTTTCCCAATTATGGAGGAGTCCTCTCTGAGATCAACTTGGGCCCCAACAAGCAAGAAAGGAATCTTTGGACAGTGGTAGGTTATCTCAGGCACCCACATTTCCTTCACATTTTCAAAGGAGGATGGAGAGATCACTGAAAAACAGACTAGAAATACATTTGTGGATAACTCGGTGGCCTTAATCTGTCATAGTCCTCTTGTCCGGCAGTATCAGAAAGTCCAAGAGTGTATGGCTCCCTATCGATCATAATGGTGACTGCATACTCGTCACAGATAATCAGTACATACTCAGATAGAAATGTGTTTGTTGTGTAGGATATCAGGAGACGTGTTTTACCAATGGCACCATCACCCACAACAACACACTTAGTTGTCTGCATTACTGAAACAATGTTGTATCCACTTTAAATATTTCAGATTCAGTGGTGATCTCAGCTTCTCCACAGGGGCATTGGCAGTGCTGTGTGGTGTCTCCTCTTGTATGTTATCTTCTGATGAACAAAAGTTTCTCTTGAACATGTAGTTGAATTAGTCAATCTTTTATAGTTAGAATGTTTGGGAGCCTGTTTCAGAAATCCTTCCATACACCAGGGTCATGAAAGCATTTCCTATTTTATCTTCTGGGAGCTTTGTTATTTTCCTTTTACATTTACATCTATAATCCACTCAGAATTGATTTTTCTATATGATGTGGGATAAGAGTCCCTATTTCTTTTCTAAATGGATATTGACCATTTATTGACAAGATGATCCTTTCCCTACCTTAATGTAAGACTAGCTTTTTCATAAATCAAAAATAATACATGCGTTGCTATATCTGGACTTTTTATTCTTTTTGTTCTTTGGTCTATTTGTTGGTCCTTGTACCAGTACACCTATTATTTTAATGTAGATTTAATATGTCTTGATAGCTGAAGGATAAATCCTCCAAATTTGTTTTACTTCTTTGAACTCTTCTTGGCTATTCTTAGTGATGTCCTTTCTGTCATTAGAAATATTTATTATTTGTGCTTTCTCTCTTTTTTCCTTTTTCAGTCTTAGTGCATGTATGTTTCGCTTTTGTTAGCCTTTCCAAAATCCAACATTTGACTCTATTGATTTTGTTTAAAGTTTGCTTTTCACTTCAGTATTTTATGCTTTTGTCCTTATCATTTTTCTTCTCCCTTTGAGGGGTTTAATTTGCTATTCTTTTCTAACTTTTTAAGATAGGACCTTGGGAGAGGCGCCTGGGTGGCTTAGTTGGTTAAGCATCCGACTTTCGTTCAGGTCATGATCTCGCGGTTCGTGGGTTCGAGCCCCGCATCGGGCTCTGTGCTGACTGCCGGCTCAGATTCTGGAGCCTGTTTCAGTCTGTGACTCCCTCTCTCTCTGACCCTCCCCTGCTCATGCTGTGTGTCTCTCTCTCTCCTAGAAATTAAAAAAAAAAAAAAAAGATAGAACCTTGGGTTATTGATCTTTTCATCTTTTCTATTAAATGCATTTAAGGCTGTGAATTTTCCTCAGCACAACCTTACCATATCCTACAAGTTTTAATATGTAATACCATTATTTTTACTCAATTCAAAATATTCTAACTTCCATTGTGGTTTATTTTTTTGACATATGATTTATTTAGAGAGACATTCTTTAATTTCCAAACTTATGGGATTTTTCTAAGATCTCTTGCTATTACTTTCTAGCTTAATTTCCTTACCCTATAGTAAGTTATTTGTATCAGTGTCTTTATTATTCTAATAATTTTTAAATTTTATGAACCTTATTCAATGGTGAAATATTACTTTATAACTGTCATTATGGGAGCATCTCTTTTACCAGTGTTAAGTCCTGTTCATTCTCTGTGTCTGTAATTGGCAGCTTATTTTTTAGCAGGCATCATTATGCCTCATTTCTCTTTAATAATTTGAAATTGTGATATTTTTTAAAATGTCATCTTTCTCTACTTCTTTTGTTTTAAAGGGGGAGAAGTTGACCTCAATGACCTGGATAATGTCTTGCAAAATATGGGGATAGAGTCCTCACCAGAACACTTGGAGATAGAGAAGTTACTTCCAATTAATGGTGGGCATTTCAAATATCAGAATAGTCTTGAAGAGAGTTATTATAGTCATCCAGGGAGTTACTCAGCCATTCCGAGTATCAGGTAGAACTTGAGGGAAATATAATTCTAGCCTTAAATTTTCTTATTATCCAATACTCCATGTTCATTCTAGATCACTTATAAGTTAGAGTTAAAAATATCCATAATTTTAAAGATAAGTATTTTTAATATTTAGGAATACATAAATTGACATTTAAAAATACATATAAATCAAGAGGCTCATCAGTCATCAGTCTTGCCATCTGGACTAAGGAATATTGATAGTTATTTTTCACTCCATCGAGATGCCTTGAGTTAAGACCTCTGGGAAACAGGAGGAGGACGAGGAGAGATGTAGAACTATATTAGTAGAGGGGGGAAAATGTGGACTCAGAAAAAATACAACATAAGGAAGTGTTTTTCCTTTGGCATGGTAAATATTAATAAATTGCAGACAATGAATGTCGTCTCTTGGGGGATGGAGTTCCATAATTTATTGAAAAGTTTACAATTCATGGCAAAGAACAACATAAGTCTAGTCTGAAGAGTGATTAATAAACAAAAAATTAGTAATGGTTAAGGAAATTCTCAGAAAAAGAAAATTTTCTCTGTATGTCATCAAGAAAGAAATCATGCATATTGGATGGAAGTATGGAATTTGTTATCCTCACTAATGTATTTCGCTGAGCAGCTCACTGATTTCCTTTACAGGTTTCTACTCTATGGACCGACCAAGGGAAGAGATCTTATTCTAATTCTGTTGTTGAACATCTTTTAAATATTTGAACAATCTATTTAGCTACAGTTTTCGTGCTAAAACTTATAACTGTATACACAAATTTATAGTTTTGGTCACATTTAAGAGTGACTACATTTTGGTCTTATTTCTCTCAATTTCCTAAGGGGTGAGGATGATTGATAACAACAAATTGTACACCGTTCTGGAAAACATGAGGTTGAATCTCACAGAAAAGGAACTTAAAAATCTGTGACAGAATCTAGAAATTAATGCTGAGCATTGAATATAGCATTGGACCACTCAAGAAGTCTTGGGCATATGAAGTGATGGAAAGACTCTCAAAAGCTACTAATTTGGCACTAGGAAGACATTTTATTTTATTTTAAAAAAATTTTTTTTACAAATAGTTTATTGTCAAATTGGTTTCCATATAACACCCAGTGCTCATCCCCACAAGTGCCCTCCTCTATGCCCATCTACCCCCTCCCCCCACGTCCATCAGTCCTCAGTTTATTTCTCAGCATTCAAGAGTCTCTCATGGTTTGCCTCTCTCCCTCTCCCCCACCATTTCCCCCCTTCTTCTCCCCCATGGTCCTCCGTTAAGTTCCTCCTAATCCTCCTGTACGTGCAAACAGATGATATTTGTCCGTCTCTGGCTGACTTATTTCGCTCAGCCTAACACCCTCAAGGTCCATCCATGTTGCTACATGTGGCCAGATTTCATTGTTTCTCATTGCCATGTAGTATTCCATGGTATAGATAAACCACATCTTCTTGATCCATTCATCTGTTGATGGACACTTAGGCTCTTTCCATGTTTTAGCTATTGTGGAGAGTGCTGCTATGAACATTGGGGTACATGTGCTCCTATGCCTCAGCATTTCTGTATCCCTTGGGTAAATTCCTAGCAGTGCTATTGCTGGGTCATAAGGGAGTTCTATTGTTAGTTTCCTGAGGAACCTCCACACTGTTTTCCAGAGGGGCTGTACCAGTTTACATTCCCACCAACAGTGTAGGAGGGTGCCCGTTTCTCCACATCCTCGCCAGCATCTAGAGTTCTCTGATTTGCTCATTTTAGCCACTCTGACTGGCGTGAGGTGGTATCTCAGTGTGGTTTTGATTTGTATTTCCCTGATGAGGAGGGATGCTGAGCATCGTTTCATGTGTCTGTTGGCCATCTGGATGTCCTCTTTGGAGAAGTGTCTGTTCATGTCTTCTGCCCATTTCTTCACTGGGTTGTTTGTTTTTCGGGCGTGTAGTTTGGTGAGTTCCTTATAGATTCTGGATATTAACCCTTTATCTGATATGTCATTTGCAACTATCTTTTCCCATTCCGTTGGTTGCCTATTAATTTTCTGGGTTGTTTCCTTGGCTGTGCAGAAGCTTTTAATCTTGATGAGGTCCCAACAGTTTATTTTTGCTCTTGATTCCCTTGCTTTTGGGGATGTGTCAAGTAAGAAGTTGCTGCGGTGGAGGTCAAGGAGGTTGTTTCCTGCTTTCTCCTCTAGGGTGTTGATAGTTTCCTGTCTCACGTTCAGGTCCTTTATCCATTTTGAGTTGATTTTTGTGCATGGTGTGAGAAAATGATCTAGTTTCATTCTTCTGCATGTTGCTGTCCAGTTCTCCCAACACCATCTGTTAAAAAGGCTGTCTTTTTTCCATTGGATATTCTTTCCTGCTTTGTCAAAGATCAGTTGGCTGTATACTTTTGGGTCCACTTCTGAGTTCTCAATTCTGTTCCATTGGTCTATGTGTCTGTTTTTGTGCCAATACCATACTGTCTTGAGGATGACAGCTTTGTAGTAGAGGCTGAAGTCTGGGATGGTGATACCTCCCATTTTGGTTTTATTTTTCAGTATTACTTTGGCTATTCGGGGTCTTTTGTGGTTCCATACAAATTTTAGGATAGTTTGTTCTAGTTTTGAGAAGTATGCAGTTTTGACTGGAATTGCATTGAATGTGTAGATTGCTTTGGGTAGTAATGATATCTTAACTATATTCTTCCTATCCATGAGCATGGAATGTTTTTCCATTTCTTTGTGTCTTCTTCAATTTCCTTCATAAGTTTTCTATAGTTTTCATCATGCAGATCTCTTGTATCCTTGGTTAGGTTTATTCCGAGGTATTTTATGGTTTTTTGTGCAATTGTGAATGGTATCAGTTTCTTGATTTCTCTTTCTGTTGTAAGAAGACATTTTAAAAACTCACAGAAGAAAACATCTCTAAATAGAAATGAATGCTATCCTAAAAACTTGTATTAAATTTATTATATCAATAACTTCTTTAACTGTGAATCATAAGTAATGCTGAGGTTTCCAAAGGCCACAAAAGGCCAGAGAAGAGTCAGGGGGAGAGGGAGAGTGGAAAGAAGATGAAATAGAATCTTAAATTGAAAAATCAAACCTAGGTCTACACCGCAGACATTGAAGTGAAGGATTGGCAATTGCTTAGTGGAAATGACCTGGGAGTTAAGGAAAGTGAGAGTGGCTCCTTGTTCCTGTCTGGAGCGATGAGATCTGTGGTCTAATAGCTCTAAGGTACTAAAATATACCTGAGGCACAATTTTGCTGTCTCAGATTGTCCCAAGATAAGGTAAAAGGAAACAGGTTCTAGTTTTACCCTTCCTGTGAAAATTTTCCGGATAATTAGAAAAGCCAAATGAGTCTTGATATTCCTATTTAAAATGTTAAATGAGGGTGCCTGGGTGGCTAAGTCGGTTAATCGTCCGACTTTGGCTCACATCATGATCTCACAGTTCTTGGGTTCAAGCCTCGTGTCGGCCTCTGTGCTGACAGCCAGCTCAGAGCCTGGAGCCTGCTTCATATTCTGTATCTCCGTCTCTCTCTGACCCTCCCCTGTTCACGCTGTCTCTCTCTCTCAGAAATAAATAAAACATTAAAAAAATTTAATGTTAAGTGATAATATGAAGACATAGATTACACTTTCTCTTTTTAAAATATCATTAGCACAGGCTGATTAAATTAATGATACACAGAAACGAATGTTTTTTTAATATTGTGGAAACATTCCGTTTTTCTTATTTCCCATCCCTATTGCTTTCCTAAGGTGGGAAGGTTAATGTGAATAATTTGGACAGCATTCTGGGGGAAATGAGGATTAAGCTTCCAGAAAAGGAACAGAAAAAACTGACAGAAAACCTGCTACTTAATGGTAAGTATTTTAGAAATAACTGTGTCTTTGAAGGGAGTTAGTACTTGTGAAGATGCATATGAGAATTTCTAAAGCTTAGTAGCAGTGGCACTGAGAAGATAGTTTGCAGATCTGAAGGAAGGATTAATTCCTAATGTAAAAGTCCTATTAATTCATTTTTATAAATCCCAGGGAGCAGAATGAAGTTCTGTCTGTAGTTCATTGTTTCATTTAACACTCTAAAAAGAACTTCCTTTCCCCCATCATACCCATATCCTCACAATGTTCAGATTTATATCTCAGATCAATTTTCTCACTCAAATATTGTGTATTAGAAGTTCTATAGGACATTTCTTTTTTTTTTTTTTAATTTATTTATTTATTTTTGAGAGAGACACAGAGAGAGCGAGCAGGGGAGGGACAGAGAGAGAGGAGAGACAGAGAATCCCTAGCAGGCTCTGCACTGTCAGCACAGAGTCTGACACAGGGCTCAATTCCACAAACCATGAGATCATGATCTGAGCTGAGATCAAGAGTCAGACTAACCAATTGAGCCATCCAGGTGCCGCATAGGACATGTCTATGACTGTCTCTCAGACATCATAGATTTTGTCAGAAACAATTCATAATTTTCATTGTGGTATTTGACCAAAGCAGCCACATGGAGCTTTTAGAAATATGTTGGGGGCATATTTGATTGTTACAAATTATTGTCACCAAGTGATTGTAAAAGTGGATGCTATTGGCACTATATTCCTTGAGTGTCAGGGATACTAAGTGCTATGCAATTCATTGGGCTTTTCAGCACAATGAAGAATCATTCCTCAAGAGTATGCCAGTGGCTCGTCCAGCAGCTGAGAAACTCTGGCTCCTGTTTTCATACTCTTTCACAATTGTGCTGCTATTGTTATTACCCTAGTAATATAAGCTAAAATCCTGAGAGTCAACCTTTACTCACCTGGCTCTGACGTAACTAGTTGTATTACAAATGAGTCCCACCATCCTCCCCTGTTATAAAATGTGAGCTTCTTTTGTCAGAGACCCTGCCTGAATCTTCATTGTGCATCTTTGTCCCCTGACCCAGCAAAGTATCTTTTACATATTAGCTATGTAATAAATATTTAATTAATGAATAGAATAAATGAAAGGAGTTTCTACCCCAAATGAGAGAAACAAAAAGAATGGCGATCCTGGATAGTGATAGTAAAGTATTGACAGAAGCCTCAAATATTTACTGACTTTTGTACTTAATTAAATCCTTTATAATAATATTATACCAACTGTTTGTTAGTACTGAGAAGCTCTCATAGCTATCCCACACAAAATCAGTTGTCTTCTGACATTATAGGAAGTGCTACTATTTTGTTTGTCTTTAGGAACTTGTATTCTCAGGGAAGCTTATTTATTTATTTTATTTTTTAATTTTTATTCTTTTATTTTGAGACAGAGACAGAGAGAGAGGAGACAGTGAGCATGTGAGAGAGGGGCAGAGAAAGAGGGAGAGAGAGAATCCCAAGCAGGCTCCATGCTGTCAGCACAGATCCTAAAGTGGGGCTTGATCCCACAACCCTGAGATCGTGACCTGAGCTGAGATCAAGAGTCAGACACTTAACCGACTGAGCCATCCAGGTGCCCCGCTCAGGGAAGCTTGTAATCTATTGCAGTCTATTCCATTCTCAATGACATGGTAGAAAGATAATTTCATATACGATGCAGAGATAGAGACCAAAACTTTTCTTCTTACTTTCTTCCAATTTCTTCTTTGTCATCCCCCATCCCCCATGTCCTTCTAGTCTGAGTCAATGAATGTCCCTTTTTCAATTATAATTTACTTTATTGGGACTAATTACAATTTCATTATACTTAGTAGAGTTATTGGAGGATTTTGTGAATACCCAGATCACCCCAAAAGAAACCCTATATCCTTGAGCTATCACCCTTTTATTCTCTCCTTACCACCCTACAAGCCCAGGCAACTACTAGGTTTTTTTTTTTTTCCATCTCTGTTTTGTCTCTATTACCTATTCTGGACATTTCGTATAAATGGGATAGTACGTAGTCTTTGTGATTAGCTTCTTTCACTTTGTATGATGTTTTCAGGTTCATCCATATTGTAGCTTGTATCAATATTCCATTCTCCTTTTTTTCCAATTTATTTATTGTGGTAAAATGCACATAACATAAAATTTACAATCTTAACCATTTTTAAGTGTCCAGTTCAGTGGTATTAAGCACCTACACATTTTTGTGCAACGACTACCACCATCCATCTCCAGAATTCTTTTCATTTTGGAAAATTAAAACTCTATATCCATTAAGCAAAAACTTCCCATTCTCCCCTACCCTGTGCCCCTGACAACCACCATTCTACTTTCTGTCTGTATGATTTTGACTAATCTAAATACCTTATATATGTGGAATCATGCAGTATCTATTTTCATGACTAGTTTATTTTATTTACCCTAATGTCCTCATGTTTCATCCAGGTTGTAACATATGTCAAAATTTCCTTCCTTCTTAGGGCACTTGTGGGGATGAGCACTGGGTGTTATATGGAAACCAACTTGACAATAAACTATTTGTAAATAAATAAATAAATAAATAAAGAGAAAGTTAAAAAAAATTTCCTTCCTTCTTAAGGCTTAAGAATATCCTACGATATGTATATATATATTCATTCAGCCATCAGTGAATACTTGAGTTGCTTCCACATTTTAGTTATTGTAAATAATGTTCTGTGAACATGGGTATACAATTTCATTCCTTTTTGTTGCCAAGTAATATATTCTGTTGTATGTGTGTATGTTTTGTTTATTCACTCATCATTTGTTGAACATAGGGGTTCTTTCCACCTTTTGACTATAATGAGCATTTCTAAACATATACAAAGCAGGAAGAATAATGTAATGAAAAAGAATAAAGAGTAATATAATGAACCTTGATTCAACAATTACGAATATTTGTCTCACTTGCTTCTTGTTTATTCTTTATATTTCTGACTGAAATATTTCAAAGCAAATCCCATTTCATTTAGTCCCTACATACTTCAGTATGCATCTCTTAAAAAAAAAAACAACGGACCTTTTAACATAACTGCAATACCATTATACAGCTTATTTTTAAATTTCCCTTCTTTAAATATTTTTTTACAGTGAGCTTGTTCAAATAAAGAACCAAACAAGCTTTACACACTGTATCTATTATGTATCTATTAAGTATCTATTATGATACTTAAATCTCATGTACTCTATATCTGTTCCTTTACCGTCTCCCTTTTTTCTTTTTAGGCACTGATTTTTTTTCTTTTTTTTGAGGAAACTGTCCCAATTGTCTTGTAGAATTTCCCATATACTCAAAAAAACCTCCCATATACTAAATTTGCCTGTTTTTGTCTGTTTTCTCATCTCTCTTTTTCCTCTATTGTCTGTATTCCTCATAAACCAGGAGTCCGCTCTAAATGGCTGAATTATTTTCAATTTCAACATTTTTTTGACAAGAATACTTCCTAAGTAATACTGTGCATTTCACATTGCATTTCATCAGGAAATAAAGATCTAATTTCTCTTTTTGAAAATGGCTATACAGTTGTCCCAAATCATTTATTTAAAAGTCCATCACCACTTCCTTCAATTTGAGATGCCATCCTAACTACATACTTGATTTCCATGTGTACTTATCTATTTTGAGAATTTACATTCTGTTCTATTGGTCTGCTTCTTCATGCTTTAAATTGTATTGAATTTTACAGCTTTATAATCTTTTAGTAGATCTAACCTCTCACTCCTCAGCCCTTGTACACATACACACACACACACACACACACACACACACACGGCACGCACACACACATATGCTCCCTTCTCCCCCTGCCCAGTTTTGGTTGATCTTTATAGAAACATCTTTTTTGTGTGACTTTTAGTAGGAGTGTATTTGCCTTTTCTTTTTTTTTTCTGTTTCATTTTCCATTTGCTGTGTAACATATTTCCTAGTGTGAAGAAGATTGACTTCTTAGGGTTTGAAAACCACTTATATTATGAGAGGACTTATCACACATACATATTTACTACTGAGCCAAGTTTAAATCCCAATATAATGAAGAAATATGAAAGCATATTGTGCACCATTGTTCCTTGTTTTCTTTGGTTAGAAATATTGACTATCCTTTCAACTTTAAATTTAACATCAAAATCTCCCACATTCAATGCAGATCTGCATTATTGTGAGTCACGATTATACCATGTGGTGCTGTACCCACTTGGCTGTAGCTGGGGCCTTCATGGGTGCAGACGATGCCATGTGTACATTGTGCACCAGTAAGAATGCCCTGTAGATATCATGAGCTGCTTACTAGGAAGCTCAGGAAAGACACGGCACCTCTACTTGGCACTAAGCCAAGGATTGTCACAAAGGACTTGCCTGTAGCCCTAGATTGACTAGTGGGTACAGGATGAATTCCATGTGGTTCAAGGTCCCCTTCATACTCCCATACATCTGCTTGTTTCCTTCCTCTCTCCTTCCTCCTCTTTCCCCCTTCTTTTCATTTCTATTTTTTTTCTTTTTTGGCTATACTGGGTCATTTTGTGTTGTTTCCTATTTCCTGCAGATGCAGATACTTTCTAGCTTATTTTCCATTGCTTTACACATAGGAGGCATAATAGTTTTATAATTTGTGCCTGATAATTTCTAAATGTAAAGTTTTTGTGAGTATATTGCTGTTGCCTAATATTTCTGCGTATTCTCTCTCAGGCAACTTGTTTCGTTCTGTGTTCCATTCTTTTGAGTGTGAGCTATTTTCCTTGGAAAATTATTGAGAGAAACTTTTGAGAGTAAGGAAGGAAGCACATTCCTAGGGAATACTTGCCTTTGCTTCTGCTGGGCACTTGGACAGAACCACCCACACTCCATGAGGTCATCAGCATTACAGTTCAACTTCAGATGGAGCAAATATCATTAGAACACAAACAGTAACAGTGTTCTGCGTACCTGCCTAGGTTCCTACTTTTCATTAGATTTTGCACTGGTAACTTATTCTCCTATCAGCTCTTTAGTACTTTTGAGGAGATACTTTTTACATTTTATCCAAGATTTCAGTTTTTAGAAAGAAGGTTTGTCTGAGTAACATAGTCCTCTGCATATATGGAAACAGAACTTGATTACAGATTTTTGTCAGAAGTTGAGGCCTCTAATCTAAGAGTTCAGGGAAGAAAAAAAAAACAACCCTCATAGTCAGCCACAGTTTGATTTTACCATTTGCTGTTAAAGATTTAAAAATTGCTCAATCACCTGGAAGATTTCTATCCTAATTCTAATATCCTTATTGACCCTCTTGATATATATGGATAGACTATATTAAATATAGATAGACTATATATAAATATAAATTTCATGAGACTGATAGTCATTAATGCACTGTAAGTAATACCAGTGGTCACATTTTGGAATCAGTAAGTTTTTCCCATATTCTCTTCTTTTTCACAAGGAGAGATTATTGATGTCGATAAAGTTGATACTCCTTTGCAAAATATGAGGATGAACCTTTCAGAAGAGGAAATTGATGAGCTGACACATGATCTACCCGTTGGTGGTGAGTATTTAAGGATATATTTGAATTGGTTAGTATGAGCTTCTAAAAGAGAATCTCTGAAAACTCTAATTTGGCATTAAGAAGATGGAAAACATTAAAGATGACTCACACTGTAAGTAAACATGTTTTGCCCCTTGACATTTTCAGCAACTTCATTTCCACTTGGAGTATGGCCAGGGCCACAATTATATTTGGACAAAATTAGAGAAAGTGCTGTGAAGGGAAGGGAATTGGGTGCATAAAATACAAGAAACTGTAACACAGAAAATTTTTTTAAAAATTAGAGAAAAAAGAGCATAGCCCAAAGTGGGACATTATTTTTAATTGTTTTAAAGTAAGCTCCAGGTTGGAGCTCAATTCACAACCTGAGATCAAGTCCCATGCTTCACCGACTAAGCCAGTCAGGTGCCCCAAAGTGGAAAGTTATTAAAATAGCATTTCTGTCTTCATCTGACCATTTTCAAGGACATTTAAAAAGGCAGAATAGGGTGTCTGGATGGTTCAGTCTGCTGAGCATCCAACTCTTGATTTCAGCCCAGGTCATGGTCCCAGGGTTGTTTGTGGGATTGAGCCCTGCATCCAGCTCTGTGCTGAATGTGGCCTGCTTTGGATTCTCTCTCTCTCTCTCTCTCTTTCCCCCCCCCCTCTTTCACTTACTCTGAAAAAAAAAAAAAAAGCAGGAGAAATGAGAAGTGTAGGACCTATTTCCTACACCAAAGGAATAGGACCAAATCTTCCAGATACTGTTGAAAGGAAAAGGAGCCATAACCACTCAGCATGACTGTGTGGAATGTGTGGATGCCCACTGGCCCCACTCTTGCCTGCATTCCCTCATTCCTGAGCCAGACTCCATGGTCCAAGGACTGTTCCCAAAGCTCTAATTTTCCTTGATGGGCTGAAGACAAAGTCTAAAGTTTAGTAAATTCTGAATTGGGGCTAAAAGAATTCTCAAAGTAAATAAGCAAAAGTTACATAGTAGCCTGAGAACGTTACAGTAGGGCTAGGAAGTATCTGTCTGGAACAGTCCTTAACTATCTTATAACCTTAGAGGAATCAATACTGGCTCATCTTATTAAGGTGCATTTAATCCCATCATTCTCTAAGATAAGCACTGTTCCCTCAAATATATTTTTGTTAATTCATTTAATTTAGTCTCTACTTTTTACCACTGTTAAAGTTCTAGAAGGACTATGCAAGTGGTCTTCATCGTCTTGTTTTCTTTGCTTGCAATGGTGTATCCATTAGGAAGAATGAACTAGATATGGAACGATCGGCTTTCGTAACAGAAAACTACTATTTGTCTATTTGAGATTACAATGAAATTTTTTAATATTGCTTTAAAAAAGCAGAATAATGGGAGGGAATATAGCTATTATTTGAAATTATCCTCTGTTATTGCCATTGATTCCTGCTTCCTATTTTTTAAAAAAAAGTTTTTAATGTTTTTATTTATTTTTGAGAGAGAGAGAGAGAGAGACAGCATGAGCAGGGGAGGGTCAGAGAAAGAGGGAGACGCAGAATCCGAAGACAGGCTCCAGGCTCTGAGCTAGCTGTCAGCACAGAGCCCGACGCGGGGCTCAAACCCAGGAACTGAGATCATGATCTGAGCCGAAGTCAGATGCTTAACCGACTGAGCCATCTAGGTGCCCCTCTGCTCCTTATTTTAAAATAATAATTTAAGATCAACCAACACAATGAAAATCATTGTGATATTAAAAAGTATACATGAAATAAAATAGATGTGTAATGATTAATCCTTTTTTCTTTAAATCAGAGTTAGAATTTTTTTAAGTTTATTTATTTATTTTGAGAGAGACAGACCATAAGCGGGGGATGGGACAGAGAGAGGTGGGGAGAGAGGATCTGAAGTGGGCTCTGCGCTGACAGCAGCAAGTCTGATGCAGCCTTGAACTCACCAACCATGAGATCATGACCTGAGCCAAAGTCAGATGCTTAACCAACTGAGCCACCCAAGTGTCCCCAGAGTTAAAATTTTAAATTATTGCTTATTGGTGATCAGCTCATCTGAGGAGTTACCATCAGTCTTCAGCTTAAAATGAAGTTTTGTGAAAGATTAAGGCTCAGGCATAGAGCCTCAATTATATCATTGGGGACAGTAAGACCCCATTAAGGGCAAAGCTCTTCTTATAATGTGTCTGTCAGGATGGAGATATGAATTTACTGGAAAGGGCAAGATTGAGTTGAAATGTGACCCAAGTTAAATAGCAAGTTTTACACCCAGTAGGTGTTATCATCTTTGTTTCTGTGCATTTCCAGTTTTCATGCTTTTTTTCCCAGAATTTCATGTTTTTCTGACCTCACTCATTGGTTTTACCACAGAAATAACTTTTGGAATGTTCTGCCTCAAAATATCCAGAAGAAAAACAAGGAAGATTCTCTTTAGCCTAGAGTTAGCAACTAAATGAACAACTTATGTATCTTTTTCCTGTTTACTGTTTTAATACTTGTTATTGTGTATATGCAAGTGTTGCATAACTTCTTTGAGTCACTGCATACTTCTAATACTTCAGTAAATATTTGTCGAATTATCTAGGACCTTCATTTGTAAATTTTCCATGTTATAGAGAGTTTTAGGTTTATATATATACTGTAATTTATCACTTATAATCTAATAAAACTCAGGAATTTTTAAAGCAACTTACCAACCATGATGTCTTTTAGGTTATTTTTCTTTTTTGGCCAAGTATGTATCTCAAATATCATCTTTTTGTGAGATAATTCTGTTCTTTAATATATTAATGTCTTTTTAAATATTGTATAATATTCAATTGGGTATCTACTATGAAATCATTACATTTGGGACGTTAAGCTCAAAATGAATATTTTACTCCAGTAAATCATAAATCATGCAAATCAAGAGTAAACTGGTCTGCCTGGGTCAGTGAACATGAAAGGAAATAGTAATTAGGATCTCAATAAAGAAAGAGATAATTTCAAAAGTCCAATTAAAACAGTTGTGAATAAGATCCCAATTTTAAATTTTGTTTTCCCCGGCCTAGTCCAAATCATATTTGGTTTTCCAAAGTCTAAAGCTAAAAATAAGGTCTGTTGAAAAGAGGTGACTGTTGAGTCTCACACCTTTAGAGTTTTGCTATATGACATGGATGAAAGCAGTTGTTAAAACAGGCACATTTAATAGTAAGTAGAATGATTATTTTCCATGTCCTTGTGTGCTCATTGGGGTACGAGTGGGATAACATTTGATAGTGAGTGGAATACCACGGAGTTTCCTGTTTTGCATTTCTCAGTGAACACCATGTATTTGATTTACATTTTCTTATGGTTCTTGGGAAGATTGAAATGAGAAAGCATATGGTTGGAATGGAACCTTTTGCAGATAAATAAGAGACTATCACTTTTGTGCTTCAAAATGTTTTGCTCACAGGGATGGTTGATCAAAAATAGTTTAGGGAAGAGGGTTAAAATGCCACAAAGTTCTCTTACTATAAGTCACCTTTTTCTCAATTCAGCTTTCACTTGGTTGATATAAACCTTTGACTGTTTTCCAGAGTTCTAACCAAGTTGATTCTAATAGTTCTTTCTTGCTCATTTGGTGTTTTGGTGGAAGGATAGTTTCCCCCTTCTTCTCCCCCTTGGTCCTCCGTTAAGTTCCTCCTAATCCTCCGACACGTGCAAGCATATGGTGGAGGTTCCTCAAAAAGTTAACAATAGAACTCCCCTATGACCTAGCAATAGCACGGCTAGGAATTTACCCAAGGGATACAGGAGTGCTGATGCATAGAAGCACATGTACCCCAATGTTCATAACATTAAAATTTTTTTAATTGGCATTTTTTATTCCAACTTTTCTTAGTGCCACATCTCATTGGATACCAAGTCCTACCAATTAGGAGTGCTGACTATTTCATACACCTGTGATCTGACCCTTGCTTTCCTTTTAGCTTTATCTTTTATTATTTCCTGACTCCACATTGCCCTATAACCCTGAAGTGTCTGAACCATATTATTGGATACAGGCAGGGTTCAAGATTCTTATACAGGATAGTCCCCACCCTGTTGCAAAGCAGTGGCTATGAATGGATGAATTTTAGCGGGAGGGTTTCCTGATTTTATCGTTTGCCATACATCAACCCAACTATTCTATTACAAGATGTTTATTTTTATTTATTTTTTATAGTTTATTGTAAAGTTGGTTTACATATAACACCCAGGGCTCATCCCAACAAGTGCCCTACAGGGTATTTATTTGTCCTTCTCACCCCAGAAACTGACTTGTTCAGAGATTTTATTAAATTTATTATTAAATATACTTTAATTTTTAGTGCCTCATATGGTGCCTGAAATTTAGTAGATAATTCATAAAATTTTCTCCAACCAATGAACATACAGATCTTCTTTGTTATCTAATGCTTATACCGTGGCATCTGATTTGATTATACAATTGTCCTTTTCCACATGCTCTCCAACTCCTAGGACAAAAATACTTAGGCATATTTCACCAGGCCAATTCTTGTCTATAAAACTAATCTCAAAGTTTACCTGTTCCAGAGCTCCCTGATCCATGGAAGTCACTTTTTTTACCCTTCCTCTTAGTTAAAATTCATCCTATACACACATATATTATTATACACTTAGCATATTGTATAAAAAGTGAGTGTCTTTATATCACTGTCACTTGTTTATGAACTGTGGTTTTCTCGTAAATAGAAACCATGCCTACATCATTTTATATTTTAGAGGCAATAAATATTGAAGGATGGATGGAATGATGGAATAATTAGAGAGATTAAACAAAATAAGCAAAAAACAGTGAAAAATACAAGTAATTCAAAGTGGCAGAAAGTCCTTAAGAGGAATATCAAATACAGGCTGGACTTACAACACTTCAGTTTAGCAGTACATAACCAAAGGGCTCCAAATCACTGGTAAAAATGTTATCAAAACAAAAAGACAATCATTGCCTAATCATCGCTTATGCAGTTTTCTGCTTTCCAAAGAAGTTGTGGCAGAAATTATACTCATTTTTGGAACAGCCAGCAACATCCTGACCAAGTGATATACAAGGGGATACTTGTTCATACTTAGCACATAGGTGCAAACTTGGCCTTCTCTTAAAATCCCCCCTCAGAACCATCCTAATTCCAAATTATTCCCAATAAGACATAATATTCTTCTAAACTTTATTGCTTTTTATGATGCATTACCCTTTTAAAAAAAAAAATAATAATAGTGTAGGGTGCCTGGGTGGCTCAGTCAGCTAAGCATCCAACCCCAGGTCAGGTAATGATCTTATGGTTCGTGGGTTCAAGCTCCGTGTTGGGCTCTGTGCTGACAGCTAGCTCAAAGCCTGAAGACTCTTCAGATTCTATATCTCCCTCTTTCTCTGACTCTCCCCTGTTCATGCTGTCTCTATCTGTCTCTCAAAAATAAATTTAAAAAACATTTAAAAAAATAAATAAAAACTACTTGTTAAAAAAATAAAATAAAATAATAGTGTTACACAAAGACTTCATGAAACCATAGGACATAGGAGAAAAAGCCTGTACATCTGACTCATCACATAGAATTTTTATTAACCCATTAGCTTTCAATGAACTGTTGAATCCCCTTTGTAACTAATTATGTTACCAGAAGTCTTTTCAGTTTGGGGACTTTCTGAAATAGCTACCCTTCTTTTAGGGTTAAAGTGAAATACATACCTATCTTTATAAACAAGTATATATAGTGTTAATAGAAGAAACATGTCTCCAATTTCCATGATCAAAAATCCCAAGATAGTTGTGATAGACAAAGAAGCTAGGGAAAGGCAAATTGGGAAAAGGTAGGAAGATAAGAAAGGTGGCCCCCAAAAACTCTCTGACAAATGTGTCTGAACCAAAGCTGAGAACTTGCTACACAACCAAATAAGTCACTGGGACCTTTTACCAGTGAGGTAGAGAGCGATCTTCAAATTCAAGAGGTACATTCAAGATTCCATTTTGTCCAAGAGATAAAGACTCTCCCTCAACTAACGTGGAGTTAATTCTTAACATCCAGGGTTTATATCCTTAGAGATGAGTCAGATAAAGCAGTGGAGCTAATGAACTTTGATCTCTTATTTTCCACTTTATCCTATTTTTTTGTTCTGTTTTACATACGACCCTTTGGCCTTATTACCTTATTTTGGCTTTCCTTGTAGCTAATGGGAAGGTTGAGTTCAGCACATGGATGGATACAGTGACCACTGTTACAGGTTAGTGAACAATTACTGTGAGTCTAAGTTCCTAATTCTTAGATTAAATTATTACTTTAATTCTCTATTCCAGCTCTCCCATCACTACCTTTTTGCTCTGCCATTTACCATTTTATTGGAGAAGCATTTCTACTTTATTTTTTTTTCTTTCATAGTTTATTGTCAGGTTGGTTTCCATATAATACCCAGTGCTCATCCCCACAAATGCCCTCCTACTTTAATTGTTTAAAATATGGGTTGGCAAACTCTGACCCTTAAGCCAAATCTGCTTCCTTTTTTGTAAACAATTTCATTGGAACACATCCAGCCCATTAGTTTATGTATTATTCATGGCTGCTTTTACCGTACAAAGGTGGAGCTGAGTAGTTGTGATAAAGATCCTAAGTCCTACAAAGCCTAAAGTGTTTTCTATTGTTTATGAGCTTTTATAGAAAAGTTTGCTGATTCCTAGCCTAAACTTTAACTTCCACTGAGGTAGATTAATTTTAATGAATTAATTTTAACACCCCCTTTTACTCCAAGCAGTCTTTGTTTACATGATAAATTGCATGGAATTTTAACTTTTGATTATTTACACTATATACTTCAGTGCACTGCCTTGATAAAAAATTCTTTATTCTCTGAGGTTTATTCCAAACAGTACTTCAATATGTATAATCTGAGTGTCATGAAGGGAAACTGTCTTGCTGCAATTGTAGCCTCAAAGTATACTACCAGGCAAGCTAGCCCAGAGTTCACACAACAGAAAGGCTCATGGACCCAGTTAAAATGTTTGAATCAGACAGCATTAAATCATTTAAAAACACACAGCAAAAATGAGGTGGAAATATGGAATACATTAACAAACTTAGGGTAGAGTGACTGGAAGGACCACACTATTTGAATCTAGGTACATAATGTGCATAATAAATTTTGTGTCTCTGTTCAACAGCATTAGTTTTGCCTGCTGCTGATGTGGTTATAAGAACCAGTGTTGAGATTCAAGCAGATGGGCTCACAGACGGAAAGTGCTCCAGCCGTGATACAAACTTGCTCTTTCAGAAAGACACAGGGTTAAGGGTACCTGGGTGGCTCAGTCAGTTGAGCATCTAACTCTTGACTTTACATCAGGTCATGATCTCACAGTTCATGGGATCAAGCCCCATGTCAGTCTCCGCACTGACAGCACAGGACCTGCATGGGATTCTCTCTCTCTCTCTCTCTCTCTTTTTCTTTCTCTCTGCCCCTTCCCCACTTTATCTCAAAATAAATAAACAAGAAAGAAAGAAAGAAGGAAAGAAGGAAAGAAGGAAAGAAGGAAAGAAGGAAAGAAGGAAAGAAGGAAAGAAAGAAAGAAAGAAAGAAAGAAAGAAAGAAAGAAAGAAAGAAAGAAAAGAAAGAAAGAAGACAGACACAGGGACAAGTACCTGTAGCTGATAGTTGTAGCTAGCCATTAAGGCCATCAAAGAGCCATAGGTTTTGTGTTCCTTGAACAGAGGACAGAGAAGACCTAAAAATGGGGGTCACTAATGGATTGCCGGATTAGAGTCATTTGAATAAAGAGTGTCATAAATATTTACCACATCTTGAATATTTAGTGCCTCTTTTTGGTGCCTCAAGCAATTTTAGAGTATCATAAATATTTAGTGTTTCTTATATATTTAGTCTAACAGATATATATGGAGAATGTGTTCACTAAATATATGTAATGCCTCGTGAATTATTATATATTGCTTCTATCAGAATATCTATTAGATATTTCCTTATTCTAGATAATAGATACCATAATAGATACTCTCGATTATATATAATATATTAAATATAATAGATATTCCCTTCTATCTTACATACCCTTTACTTAAAAACTACTGTCTGTACTGCAAACATCCTAAAAGATTTATAAACTGCAAACTTGAACTAATGTACTTCCTTAACTTGTGTAATAGAATTAAATGTTCTCAAAGGCAAATGCACATTATGCTGAATTAACATATTAAGTAGTGAAGTAAAACCAGACACAACACTCATAATTAAGGGAATAACAGAGACACTGAATTTTAAATATCTGTGATATTTTAAATAACTTGGAATCCCCCCAGTCACTTATATCTTGCTTAAATTACTCTACTCCATAATCATAGATGATGAATTTTTTGAGTAAAGGGAACAATTCTGTTTCCGTGATGGCTGATGGCACAAGAGTCTCATGCTACTTTCTTCATGGGATATTGAATGATCTGCCAAGTAGACAAATGACTTCTGTTTTCATATTTTGGAGATTTTAGGTCATATTCAAACTTTTCATCTACTTACATTTTTTTCTTTGAAGGAGGAGAAGTAAACGTCAGTGATATTCAAAGTGTTCTGGAAAAAATGGGGATAGAGCTCACAGATAAGGAGTGCTCAGAACTAAAGAAATATCTGCCAGTTGATGGTGAGTATTTAAAAAAGAACAATGTAGCCTTTAAGGAACTTAGACTTGTGTTTATTTTTTGATAACTTCTGGAATTATCTCCATTTGATTAAAAGAGAATTTAGAAGAGATTATGCCATTCCAGTTTAAGAAGTAACCTCAGTGGTGCTACTTTATACAATCATTGGCCCCTTCAGTCACTAACCTGGTTATTAAATCAAGGAAGTGCCTGTTCTAACTTTTTATTCAAGACATCCTCAAGAATAAACAGGAACATGGGGAAAGTAAAAAGAGTGAGAAAATACTGTAAACGGAAAATGGAGAGATTAGAAGGAAGCATAGAGAATGAAGATGTGTGTGTTTCAGCATAGTAGAGTGCCACCAATAAGTCCCTCATGAGCCAAGGAGCCATATTCTGAATTTTCTCCACTTGTTACTGGGTTTTTTTATTATTTACAATTAAATTAGGCCTTTTCTGGGGGGTAAATAATGATGTCTGTCTTTCCAAAATGTCTAACTTAATCTCTCATTGGCGTGGTCTGATTTGTTTCTTTCTTATAGCTGTTGGAAAGGTGTACCAAAATAGGTTGATAGATGGTGTGAAGAGCCTTAAAGGTAAGTGACAGGTACAGCAAAAAAGCAGATGAGTCTGAATCTGAAAAGCAGATGAAGAGCCTTTGCCACTGTGTGTATGTGTGTGTAAAACCATATTCGTGTTTTTTCCAAAGATCTTTTCCGTATTTATTTTACAAAATGACCTCCTTTGCCATTCTTTTACCTTAAGATGGAAGCAAAAATCCACATAAAAGTAGGACTCTTAAATAACTTCACCCTTAATGAAATGGTGAACTAAAAAAAATGTCTAACCATCATAAGTAGATAAAAGGAAGTTTATGTGTATAGTCATGGATTCTAAGATCATGAAGAAATGTCTTCTTTGAAAATTCATGACGATGGGCCTATGTTCACACTGGTTCCAGTTCATATTTGTACCCCCTGTATGACCCAGGAACTCACAAAAATTTAACAGAAAGTGGGCAACTGGGTGGCTCTGTCAGTTGAGGGTTTAACTTTGCCTCGGGTCATGATCTCATGGTTTGTGGGTTTGAGCCTGCTTCAGATTCTCTGTCTCAGTCTCTCTCTGCCCCTCCTCTGCTTACATGCATGTGTGTTCTCTCTCTCTCTCTCTCTCTCTCTCTCTCTCTCTCAAAAAAAAAAAATGAAACAAAAGAAAAAAAATTTTTAAAGTGAACACCAGCATTGTGGTAACTCTAGTATTCAAGAACATCACCTTTGTATCACGGTCAGTAAGATTTGCCCTATAAAACTTTTCTTAAAATGAACTTGAAACAGAAAATTACAAAAGATATGAAAAAATGTATGCCAATATATACAATAAAAAATGGAACCCCAAAGACTTCATATGATACAAATACTTTAGATAGACCATAAAATAAGTATGCTTGTGACTAAATTCACAAAAGGAAATTGAAAATATTCTTAAAAAGAAACTACCACAGGAAACAGTGGATTTGAAAAGAGGCAGAATTTCTAGAAATGAAAAGTCTAGCCTGAAATTTTTAAAAAGATAATGGTTTCATTAGCAGATTAGATAAAAATGAATTAATTGGAATACTAGAATAGAACTCTGAAATAATTACCAAGATCCCAGCAGAGAGAGACAAAAATTACAAATCAGAAGAAGGGGTAAGAGGCATGAGGGTCAGAGTGAAAAATCTGCCAATTTATCCACCAGTAGTACAGAAGAGCTAACAGAGACAAAGAAAGAAAATGCTAATTTGAAGACTTAACAGTTGGTAATTTTTTATGATTGTTGAAAGACATGGATCCAACTGAGGACTGATGGATGTGGGGGGGAGGGGGGATGGGCATGGAGGAGGGCACTTTGGGGATGAGCACTGAGTGTTATGTGGAAACTAATTTGACAATAAACTATTTGTAAAAAAAAAAAAAAAAGAAAGACATGGATCCTTAAACGCAGGGCATGTATTGAATCCTAAAATGTCACTTGAGAGGTCTCTGCTTAATCATATTGTAAGGAAGTCACAGAACACCAAAACAGAACAAAGCCCTACAGGCAACCACGGTGCGTTCTGACTGCCTACAAATGAACAATTAGACTTATAGTGGGCTACAGTGAGATGCCACCTCACACCCCATAGGACTGTGATTTTATAAATCGCCTCTGGAAGCTCAACCAGGTCTCCACAGTGAGTAGTGGAGAAGAATCTCCTCATGCTTCTGGCAGGGGGAGAGGAAAAGTAACCATTTTGAAAGAGCCCAGAGCATTCTGTTGTTCATTAAAAGATTGCCCTAAGGAGAAACTATTTAACTACAGCCTACCCTGCTGAGGTCTTATCAGAGACTAACTCATCTGGGGGAAGGAAAAGACCCGGCTTCAGCCTATTCCAGCCACAGCACATGTGATGTTCACAGTCCAGAGGCTCACTAACAGATTGAGACTTAATCATAAGTTTATAGTATGCCTCCCCTCCCTGGACATCTTACCACCAGATGACTAAAGCCTTGCTTATAGCACTTATTTTTACCCAGTACATTATGCCAAGCTATTAAGAAAAAAATCACAAGACATTTGGAAGAGACAGCATCATTAGAACCAGACTCAAATATGGCAGGGATATTGGAATTTTAATATGAGGAATTCAAAACAATTATGATTAATATGCTAAGAGCTCTAATGGATAAAGTTGATAGCATGCAAAGAAAGATGTGTAACATAAGTAGGTGGAAATCCTAAGAAAAAATGAAAATGAAAAGCTCACAATGAAAAACACTGTAACAGAAATGAAGAATGACCTTGATGGGCTTATTAGTAGACTGGATGTGAGTGAGCACACTTGATTTAAGGTAAGACCAGACACTTACTGTGACTGACTGATTTCACTTAGCATCATACTCTCTAGCTCCAACCATGTCATGGTAAATGGCAAGATTTCATTCTTTTTCTTTTTTATGGCTGAATAACAGATACCTCACCAAAGAAGATATACTGAAGACAAGCATATGAAAAGATGCTCTATATCATATGTCATTAGGGAAATACAAATTAAACCAGAATGAGATACCACTACACACCCATTAGAATGGCTAAAGTCCTTAAGAATAAGCCAAACAGCTAGTATTGGAGTGGACAAATCTAAGATAAGACATTTGACAAAACAGGAAATCTCTGAGGGGCTCGTCACTTACAAAATTACTTTGGCCCACATGTAATGATGGAATTCTATGTTAAAACAACAGTAAAATACTAGTTCACAGACACCAAGTTCACGAAAATTGTAATGGTCAAGGCACACTAAATGCTGACAATAATAAGGAGCAATGGAAGCCTCTTTTTTTTTTTTTTATGTTTATTTATTTTGGGAGGAAGAGAGAGCTGAGGAGAGGCAGAGGAAGAAACCAGAAGTGGGCGGCGCCCTGACAGCAAAGAGCCTGTGGCAGGGCTCAAACTCATGAACATGAACCATGAGATCATGACCTGAGCCAAAGTCAGATGCTTAACCGACTGAGTCACTCAGGTGCCCTGCAATGGAAGCTCTTGTGCACTGCTAGTATTAATATGAATTGGTACAACACTTTCAAAAGCAACTGGACAAAATCCCAAGAAGTTAAAAATGTATGTCTTCCACTCCAGCTCTTCCACTGCTTAATATGTAACTCAGATTCTGACTCCTATCAACAAAGTGACATTTACAAGAACGTATGTTGCAATGTTTTTTGTAATGTAAAAATTGGGTACAACCTAAATGTTGTCTACAGAAGAATGGATCAGTATATGATGGCATAACATTATAGTACAATAATAAATAGTATTTTAAAAATTTTTTAGTGTTTATTTTTGAGAGACAGAGCATGAGCAGGGGGAGGGCAGAGAGAGAGGAAAGAGACAGAATCCGAAGCAGGCTCCAGGCTCTGAGCTGTCAGCACAGAGCCCAAAATAGGGCTCGAACCCACAAACCATGAGATCAATACCTGAGCCCAAGTTGGACACTTAACCAACTGAGCCACCCAGGTGCCCCTAAATAGTATTTTAAATGAATGAAGCAATGTTCCATGTTTCAACATGAACAAATATAAAAAACAAAGAATCTAATGAAAATTCATGTGGCAAAAAGAAACTCACATTGTGATATGATTTATATAAACTTTAAAGTTCTGCAAAATCATTTAACATTAGCATACCTGGGAATTATAAACTCTTTATATAAATCAGTAAGTCACCCAGGGAAAGGCAGGAAAAGAAGGGGGAGGAAGAGAGACTCAGAATATATTTTTGTCATATCTATTCTGTTTACTAATGAAGCTGGGTCAGATACACAGCTGTCAGAGATGTCATCATTAAAAATTTTTATTACTGTAATATTTCATAACCTAACAAAAAAGAGGAATTATTAGACATTTTTTGGAAAAGTTATTCAAGGAAAGAACCATGTGAACTTCTGTTCAGGAAATAAAAATAATACTTTCCTACTGGCAGAAGCATATGAGTTTTATTTTCTGTATTTCTATAAAACGTCTTGAAGTTATGCCACAATCTTTAAAAGCTAATGATATAAATGGATTCCCAAAAATACTCATTTGAGGAAATTCTACTTCCACCTTTATTACTGACAGTCTTAGATACAACTGAATATACATTCAACCTTTTTCTTCAAGGTGAAACCAACATCTATAACACACAATAATTCATAGCTATTGTCACATTCTAAGGTTATTCAAGGTTACTTATATTCTTCTCTTTCTCCCAAGGTGGGATTGTTGATGTTGCTAAACTAGACACTGCTTTGCAAAACATGGGAATGAATCTCACAGGAATAGAGTGTAGCGACTTGATAAAGAACCTACCTGTTGATGGTAAGTATATAAATTTTTGCACCACTGAATATAACTTGAAGTGTGAGCTTCTATAAAATCACCTCTGAAGAAGTTTGTTTGCCAGTAAGAAGATATTTGTAAAAACTTAGAAATGGGCTCAGAAAGAAAATAAGGTAATATTCTTTCTTATCATTTTACTAACATATTTCATCAACCTTTTTAACTTTGGATCTAGAAGAATGGTAAAAACTTAGATAGTTATTTCCTTAGGGCTACAAAAAGTGAGGGAATAGACAAGTAATGAGGGGCAAAATACTGTGAAAAACAGTCTGGAGAAGATGAATGCAGAAAAAATAGGAAAATAAGAGAAAACATGGGAGATTATTAACATGAGAGACATGTTCCATAGCCATATGAGAGCACTCATTCACTTTCTCAGAGTCAGGAGTCTGCAAACACTCAGGCTATAATGTACAGAATTTTGCCTTTTTCTGAAGCCATGTAATACCCTACTTCGTATTTCAGATTCCATGGTCTAAAGGCCATATTCTCAGGCATAGGCATCTTCCTTAATGAACCAGAAACACTGAAATACAATTAAAGCTGAATTAGGGCTGAAATGTAGTGGTTCGATGGAAATATTATGCTAAATGAAAGAAACCAGTCTTTACCACAAATTGTATGATTCCATTTATAGGAAATGTCCAGAATGGGCAGATCTGTATGTACTACATATTAATGTTCCTGTTTGGATTTTAGAAATCATCTCCTCGTATAATATATTGACACCTAGTCACTTTCCCTGACGCAGATAGACTAATGATTGCCTAGGACTGCCCTAGGGGCAGTAGATGGGAACTGCACACTAATGGTATGAGGTTTCTTTTGCAGGTGATGAAAATGTTCTAAAATTAGTTTGCATTGACAGTTGTAGAATTCTATGTGTACCCTAAATATGTTCACTTGTATACTTTATTTTTTTCAAATTTTTAAATATTTATTTTTGAGAGAGACAGAATGCAAGTGGGGGAAGGGCAGAGAGCGAGAGGGATGCAGAATCAAAGGCAGGCTCCAGGCACCAAGCTGACAGCACAGAGCCGGACCAGGGCTCAAACTCATCAACCATGAGATGGTGACCTGAGCCGAAGTCTAACACAACCAACTGAGCTACCCAGGCACCCCCATTTGTATACTTTAAATGGATAAATTGTTTGGTATTCAAACTATATCTCAGTAAATTGTTTCAAAATGAATATTGGACTGCTCTGTACTTTTAGAGCCAGAAGAAGATAAAGAACAAAAATAACATGAAGCTTCTATTTAAATATTTGTCATCTACAATTAGACAAAAAATTAATATCTTATGCAAATGCAGTGTCTTAGTTGTGTTTGGTCTAATAAAGAAAAATAGGGTTGCCTGGGTGACTCAGTCAGTTAAGCCTCTGACTTCAGCCCAGGTCATGATCTTCTGGTCTGTGAGTTTGAGTCCCAGGTCAGGCTCTGTGCTGAAGCCTGCTTCAGATTCTGAGTCTCCCTCTCTCTGCCCCTCCCCTGCTTATGCTCATGCTCTCACTCTCACGTGCACGCTCTCTCTCTCTCAAAAGTAAATAAACACTAAAAAAAAAAGAAAAAGAAATCTGAGATCCTATAGAATCCCAAATTTCTGAGCTAATTCTATCTTTGTAATATGCTTTCATGTTAATGTCTTTAAATATATATATTTAAAAATATACAGAATCTCTACTTTTAAAATTATCTCAGGCTAATCACAGAAGTGATTATTAATTTACTTACATGAAATAAAGGAGTAAGAAACTCTGTGTCCAAAAAAATGTCAGGAACTACTAAGTATCAGCTTATTACATAAGGAGATCCTTTTTTTTTTTTTTAATTATGGCTAACTTTATTTTTTAAATTTTTTTTTTTTACAAATAGTTTATTGTCAAATTAGTTTCCACATAACACTCAGTGCTCATCCCCACAAGTGTCCTCCTCCATGCCCATCCCCCCTCCCCCCCACCTCCATCAGTCCTCAGTTTTTGTCAGCATTCAAGAGTCTCTCATGGTTTGCCTCTCTCCCTTTCCCCCACCATTTCTTCCCTTCTTCTCCCCCTTGTTCCTCCGTCAAGTTCCTCCTAATCCTCCTATACGTGCAAACGTATGATATTTGTCCTTCTCTGCCTGACTTATTTCGCTCAGCATAACACCCTCAAGGTCCATCCATGTTGCTACACATGGCCAGATTTCATTTTTTCTCATTGCCATGTAGTATTCCATGGTATAGATAAACCACATCTTCTTGATCCATTCATCTGTTGATGGACACTTAGGCTCTTTCCATGTTTTAGCTATATGTGGAGAGTGCTGCTATGAACATTGGGGTACATGTGCTCCTATGCCATAAGGAGATCCATTTTAAGAGCCAAACACAAACATTAGCATGTAGCACACAAAAATTATAAATCCTCTTCCTGGTGCTTGAAGTGAACAATGCAGAGTTTTCCAGTTCACAGGAATCATGAAGCAGACTGTATGGAAAGTGGTGACCTAATTTTATATCTCATCCTTAACTGCCAGAGGTTTAATTTTCTGTAGTCCAATAAATCAAAATTCTAGTAATATTTTAGAACCTCTGGCTCAAGAGAGGGATGAATATAGGATAAAATTTTAGAGCGTACAGATATTGCTATATTTTTTTATTTCCATATTGCTAATGAGTTTCAGTGTTATATCTGTATTTGATTTACATGGCTTTCTTAACAGATAATGGTAAGGTTAAAATGAAAAAGTTAATGGATGCATTGAAGATGTTTTCTGGTGAGTGACAAGTTGCTATTAAATTGTACTATTTTTAAAATATCTTCTCAACTTCCCCAACATGTTATGTGTTGTCTTTATGTTATGTCTCATTGAATACTTGCTTTCAGACAGAGTCTTATGTTATATTTATTGGTACAACTTAAATTTTAAAAACACAATAAAAATTCTGTATTTTGGTAAGAAATCTGGCTGAAATATTTTTATAAGGCAACAGTATCACTTACCTCACTAATATTCAGATAACCCCATACCTTGATAGGCATGTATGAAGAGAAAAATCACATAATTTAGGATCTCCCCACAACTAATTCTAATTTGCTGGCCAGTCTTAAAAGCAGATGTATCCTCTGCTACAACAGATAGATGTGCACAGGAGAGTATGCCTTTAGGAGATTAAGGACCTGTGTTGTGTTCGTGGCCTCCCTGTGAGTCTGTGTAATTGTATGTGTCTCCTTATACCCATTTGCTACTTCCAAGCTGAAGGCGATCATTTTTTCATTATCTGGAATCATTAGATTCCAAACTGTCATGCACTGATATTCCTGTCTTTTGAAAGGAAAAAAGACTGATGCCAATGATCTGCTAAACAATCTCGGAGCCGTGGGGATCGAGCTCCCTGAAAAGGAAATAGTGAGGCTGCCACAAACAGTCCCCATAGATGGTGAGCCATTTAAGTGTCAGTTTCCGAGGACCTGGGTGTTGGGGGTCATTGTCAGCAGTTCTAAATTGTTGTCTCTTTATTTCTTCTATAAAGTACTAAAAATGACTCGTAAAAAAAGTTAAGTTTGCTGACGTACAGATTCAATCTGTCAACCCAGCTCTTTAACCATAAATATTGCCGTCAGAGCTGAGGCAGGTTGTAATAAAGCTACCCAGTCACGCACCCAAGAGGCCTACATGATAGGAAAGAAACTGAGGGAAGTGGGACACAGGTTAAAAAAAAAATAAAACAGGCGGGGGGGTGGGGGTACCCAAAGAAGTAGTGATTTTTTTTTCTGCACAGTAGAGTCTTCCCAGCAGTTTTCTTGGTTGCTGAACACTGTATACATTTTTGTCACAATTTTTTTCCTAACGTAATTTTTATTTGATAAGACGATGAAACAGATTTCCTAGGGAAAGAGTAAAAAAGATTCTTCCTGGAATTACCCCATTGCCCAATAACTGTGTGACTGTCCATGTTCTTTTCCTTTGGACATAAATTATGTTTTTTTAAAAAAAATAGTTGCTGGAAAGGTGTGTAAGAACAGATTGCTGGATGGTTTGAAGTCTATAAAAGATATTTAAGAACGATGATTAGCAGAAAAGTCTGCTAAACATCAACACAAACATCTTACCACCAGATCTTGAGTCATGTCTACATTCCTGTATTTCGATTTTTTATTTCATTATGTTAAGTACTTTTACATAGTCACCCATGGTATAGTATTGCAAGGGATCCATTCTCTCTGGACTATTTCTAAATAGCACCCCCAAAGAATCATTTGAAATCTAATTTATGTAACAGATAATATACAGAATATCATAGGTATTTTTTCTGGGCATTTGCCCAACAACAACAATACAAAGGATTTTGGAGTGATCTTTAATAATTGTATTGCATGAATCAAGGATTTTCTATAAAATGTTCTTTCCTAAATACCAGTTAACGACAGCAGCAGCAAGAACAAACGTAGAAAAGAAGCATGGGATTGGGGCCAAGATGCTTTTTTACTTCCGCTTCCCACAGGTCCTTAGAAAAGGAGACAAGAAAGGGAAGTGGGGGGGAAGGAGGTTACCGGGTGTGCTGCTTACTACCTGATGAGAGAGGTCTCTTGCAGGTGGCAGTGGCCTCTCGACATCCCAGACCCTTGGAATTATGCCAGTCAGCAACATTCCTTGTGGAATTTTGTGGTGAATGTGTATCCATGACACTTTTCGAGAGCAAATGAATCCATTTTTATAGCCCTTTGATCTTTAATACACTTTTTTGTATATTGCAATAACAGAACATTGATGAGCTGAAGCATGAACTATCCCTCTCAGCGGATGCCTTGACTTTGTTTTGGGGACAGATCTGCACTGTATTCTCTCTGTATTCCCCATGGGGACAATCCTATTATTGGTATTCCTTTGGCCCCTCTTTTGACAGATGAGCATTACCTAATACTACAAATAGTAACTTTAAACACATAATCACAGCCCATCACCCAGTAATGCTTCAACCTCAGAATATTTTTTAAGTAGGCTCAAAGCCCAATGTGGGGCCTGAACTCAGGATGCCAAGATCAAGAGTCACACACTCTACTGACTAAGCCAGCCAGGCACCCCCAACCTCAGAACATTTTTATCTAAGTTGTTCTTGACAATTATTTTAGGTGATTATATGCCTTTTCACTAATACAAGTAAATTGTACATTTTTCTCTTTTTTTATCACACTAAAATGCATGTGAGATTAAAAATATATATAATCTTTGGAAGTCATGTAATAGTTTTTTCATGATTATTTCCTGTTTGTTTCTTAAGGAGGAATGGTTAAAGTCAATAACCTAGACAATGTTCTGGAAAATCTGGGAATTGAACTCAATGAAAAGGAACGTGAAGCTCTGGCAGAAAATCTGCCACTTGGTGGTAAGCATTGTAGATAATAGCCTCAGAGAAGAGCTTATATTTATGGACTGTGTAAGAGAATATATATACTAACTAGTGATATTTGGCATACCAAAAGAAATTAGAAGCATTTTGCAAAGATAGGGATAAAGGTCTTCATTTAACAACAGACCATGTATTATTTAGAGCAAACTACATTTTTATTTAAAAATAAACATAAAATTATGTCATGGTTAAACACAACAGAAGTTAAAGTCTTTCCCCTGTAAAAGTTCAAGGTGAGAGTATCTTTGGGTGATAGACGGTTGGTGGCTCTTCTCCATTCACTGATACAGGGACCCAGGTTCCTTGCATCTTGGATTCCTTTTTAAGGCCTTTTCATCATTCTTATCTAATTAATGGAATGGAAATAAGAGTGTGAAGGAGAGTGCACACATGATTTCCATAGCTATTCCTTTGTGGAGAACTAGTCACATGGCGGCACCTAAATAAATGAGAAGCAGAGGTGGGGCTGTAGAGATGTAGTATCTGGCTGGGCATTCCCTTCCGTTCCGTTTACGATTCTACACTCTGAGAGGAAATATGAGTACTGTAAGTAGGTAGCTGCTTTTTGTATTGTGTTTTGTTTTGTTTTCACTGACAGTTGCCTAAAATACACATGCACCATACGATTTGAAGCCAAGGAGCTCTTCCCTAAAAAGTCCCCTGTGACTAGAACTGAATGATATTAAATAAAACTAAATCAAAAAAGGAAAACCATTTCGTAGTCATCTTCATTGAAGTTAACAATATATATTTCCAGGTAACAAGTCAAACACCCGAGAGCAGCAGATAGTTTTGCTTTGTCCCTAGCTGAGAATTGTTGATTCTTAAAGGAGCCTGTAACCAGCCACAACTTAGACAAGCCTTAAATTCTGCAGTGGGGAAACTGGCTCATATCCGTAATAAACGTGTACTCTTAGGCTTCTTTCCTCCTCTTGTACACGCTCAGCTTCTCTGTCACCTGCCCATTCCAGCTTCATGTTCTTCAAGTCCTAATCACTTACCTTCTCATCATATTTTATTATAATATAATATTAATATATTATAATTAATATATTATAATAAATATTAATATAATATTATTTTATTATTTTTAAAATATAATTTATTGTCAGATTGGTTTCCATACAACACCCAGTGCTCATCCCAACAAGTGCCCTCCTCAATACCCATCACTCACTTTCCCCACTCCCCCACCCCCCATCAATCTTCACTTTGTTCTCAGTATTTAAGAGTCTCTCTGTAACCTTTTATCCCCCTTCCCCTCACCCCATGGTCTTCTGTTAAGTTTCACAAGATCCACATGAGTGAACACATATGGTATCTGTCTTTCTCTGACTTATTTCACTTAGCCTCATACCCTCCAGTTCCATCCACATTACTGCAAATGGCCAGATTTCATTCTTTCTCATTGCCAAGGAGTATTTCATTCTATATATAAGCTACATCTTCTTTATCTTTATTCGTCAGTTGATGGACATTTAGGCTCTTTCCATGATTTGGCTATTGTTGAAAGTGCCACTCTAAACATTGGGGTACATGTGCCCCTATGCATCAGCATTCCTGTATCCCTTGGGTTAATTCCTAGCAGTGCTATTACTGGGACATAGGGCAGTTTTATTTTTAATTTTTTGAGGAACCTCCACACTGTTTTCCAGAGCAGCTGTACCAGTTTGCATTCTCACCAACAATGTAAGAGGATTCCCATTTCTCCACATCCTCGCCAGCATCTATAGTCTCCTGATTTGTTCATTTTACTCATTATATTTTAAAACATCATTCAGAAATATTATGAAGACCTAAGGAACAGGAGTTATGGCTTACGCAGTCAGAAATCCTCTTGGGTCTTTTGATTTATAGATTTGTGGCATTGTGGGCCTTTATTTTGTTTTGGGGAATGACGTGTGCAACCAGTGAAGTTAGTTGGACAGAGCCCTGAGCTCAAGAGTGCCATGCTTAGGGTTTAGTGCTCTGCTTTGGCCATCAAGAGGGTCTTTATGATTTTATCTTTGAATTTGTGTTTCCTAATTGAAATCTGATGGGAAACTAGAGCATGACTAGGGCTTGGCACCCAGGCTCAGGCATGTTACTGCCCCTGCCATTTAGTCCCCAGAATGTATTCTGGACCAACCAGTCCTCAGCCTCTGGTATGGCAGACCTCCACTTCACCACCTGTGCCTAGCAACATCTGCATCCTCTGACCCCAGCAGGCACCTGGGCATGGTTGCAGGAAGGGCTGGCATTGGGAACCCGCACCTGAAGGCATCTTGTGGCAAGACATGGCAACAGTTGTCCCCAGTCTGGGCTGGCAGGGTCAAGTTTGTTCCCTATCCCCTTCCAGGTACCCAGTGTGTCCCCACATCAAGACTGCATTACTCTTGGGAGTCGCCTATCTGTAGTGAGTTGAGGTAACCAGTGCATAGAAAAGTGAGACACTTCACTCAATTTTCAGATGTGTGGATCTGGCAGCAGGTGTAAGGAGGGAGGTCTGCTGCTAGTGAGCCCCGTGCATGATGAGTAATGTGACCCAGGGGGACTGTGAGGTTCTGCACTCCACCCCAGAAGATGCCATGCCTGTGACAGTGCAACATTTACCATCTGATTTATAAACAAAAACAAAACACCACCACGACAGTTTGGGATCAAAACTGTGGAAGAAAAGAAAGACAAAGCTTTTTTCCTGATTTTTGAACAGGGGGTCCCACATTTTCATTTTGTTCTTGGCCCAGTAAATAAAGTAACTCATCTTAGGAGTTTGATCAGTCCTTCCTGATATTGGAACAATGCCATATTTCTATAACTCTCTAGCTTTAGCTAATGATTTCTTTTTTCCCAAAGATAGAAAGGTAGAAACATTTACCCAAACTTTATGGATGTGCTGGTAACAAAAGATTGAGAACACATAGTTGAAATAACTAAAGAAAAAGATTAGTAAAAGATAGAATATGAAAAATGGGAATCACTTTTTCAACATCAGTCATGAGAAGAACCTTGTGTTTGCACCAGATGTAAGGGCTACCAGAGACCAAACAACAACATACTTAGCCTACTGTAACATTCCTGCAAGCATAAGACAGAGAAAGCTTTCTTGGGTCAACCCTCTCTCTACCATAGAATGAATTATTTGTAACCCATTGCATGTACATTTTCGGTTGGTGAGATTGAATTGTGGGTAGAAATCTCTGTTTCTTAATTTAGCTCCTTTCTTTTCTTATAATATTGCCAAATTATGTTATTTCTTACAGCTAATGGGAAGATTGAGCTCAAAAACCTAATGGAAGCAGTGGAAGCTATTACAGGTTAATTAGAAGTTTCTATAAATCTAATGTCTTTATTCTTTATACTAGTCTATATTTTTATACAGACCCATCATTTCTCCATTCCCTTTTTTTTTCTACCCATTTTTCTTCTATACTGATGAATATCTACATTCAGTTGCCCAGAATTACACATGAGAATATTTGCATCGTAGCACTAATTTTTCAGTGTGAATTTGTAGTAGCAAATTTCTTAGTTTCTGGAATATTTGCCAAGAATAGTCACTATTCTTGATTTTGAAAACCTAAATTTAAATGAGCATAGCTAGTGATATAGCAAACTTTCACAAAGACAAAATTCTTTTATCATTAAGAAATTAGGGAAGAGATAATATCTTTACAAAATAAATGGATCTTATGCCCACAGTGTCCTAATTTGCATTTTATAAACTGTACCAATATGTCTATTACTTTACTGAGTAAGAGAGAAATTCTATTTCTAACCCCAATTAATGACATTGGTGAACAGTTAACATATTGTGTGTGTTTGCTCATTCAGCTATTGTAGCTGAAGCTGAAAAGGCAGCAGCATGTTTTGGGGGTTATTATTAGGATCTTCTCTCTACTAATCTGTGACCATTTTGTTATACTGAAGGGGGAGAAGTTGATATCAGTGAGGTAGGAGATGTTCTGGAAAACATGGGAGTAACTGTCACGGATAAGGAATGGGTAGAGCTGATAAAAAATCTGCCAGTTAATGGTAAGCATTTTAAATATTAATATGGTCTTGAAGGAAGCATACATTTCTTATATTGTTTATGAGAATTTCTATAAATATTCTGATAACATAGAAAAGATCCTTTTAAGAACTGTTTAGAATATATGATTTCACTCATGTAATTGTGTATCTATACGTATATCAATAGATAATATGTAGAAATATTCTAGATTGTTAACATGAGTCATCTAGGGGCTTGTGACTGCAGCATAGACTGAGAAGGAAGAAGTGGGAAAAGGCATTTAAACAAAAACAAAGACTGAAAAGTACAGCCATTATGATATGGTTCTATTTATACATTTATGGAAGCAAATAATTTTTAAAGAAAATGAATGATCCAGTTTCACCTCAAAAGGATCCTATCTAATGGTAGAACATCAGTAACTGTTTAAGCTGAGTCTATATGGGATCCATTGTTTCTATTCTACTTTTGTATGTATTTAAAGTTCTTCAAAATAAAAACATTTCGAGAGAAGATTTTTAAGAAGGAATTCCATTAATTTTTTAGTTGGAAATCAGCTGCTGCTTTATTCACTATCTGCCATCAGGGTAAGAAGTACCTTTTGTAGTTGTGGGAATTCTAAAAGTTATACTGAGCACTAACTAGGTGAAAGAGCAGAAAAGGACATTAGAGACATGAAAAGGAATTTTTTTTAAAAAAGCATTAAGAGGGCACCTGGGTGGTCAGTCGGTTAAGTGTTCGAATTTGGCTCAGGTCATGACCTCGCGGTTTGTGGGTTCGAGCCCTGCATCGGCCTCTGTGCTGGCAGCTAGCTCAGAGCCTGGAGCCTGTTTCGGATTCTGTATCTCTCTCTCTCTCTCTCTCTCTCTGACCCTCCCCTGCTCACGCTGTCTCTCTCTCTCCTAGAAATAAGTAAAAATATTTTTAAAAAATTTTTTTAAATAAATAAAAAAATATTTTTAAGTTCTTTGGGAAAATTTTATCAGGATGATTAGATTTCTAGCTCATTGTTCTTTATGGATCTTGCGTATGACCTTGAAGAAGTTCTACCTTTTTTCATTCTTCTTCTTCCCACATCTGAAGAGGGCACTGAAGAATAACCCCTTCTTGGGGGCTGGGGCAACTTTCTTAGTGTATTTCCTATTTGTAGAGGGCAGGAACCCCAGTTTTAAGTCATGAATAGAGTGCCTTTTGGTTTAAGTTTTATACTAAAATAGAGTTGACTTTTTATCTGATTGATAACGACTTGCTTTTTGCGCCAATAGTTACATCTACAATTCTTTTTGAGACACGCTTCTCATTAGATTTAATTGTAGATCCCTTGAGTTTTATCAGACTTCCTTGGGGAGAAGCCCAACCTAAGATGCTTGTTTCTGAATTATTTTTTTCAAACTTGGAAGATTTACTAGGCACCATGTTAATCAAATCAGAGGTTTTAACAAAACGGATAATGATCACACTCTTCATATTGTCTTTGCCAGAAGCCTTATTTTTGAATGTCTTTGGTCACTAAAAGGAATTCCCTGTGTTATCTTCTATTTGTAGAAGATGAAAACTAGTTCATTTTTTGTGTCATGTAGCACCCAGACTCTCTGGATTCTGCCTATTCTTTTTTATCCCTGCTTGCTAGTCTGTCAGTTGTTTCCCGGGCTCATTTCTTTTTGTAGTTAACTTACCCATGGCTGCCAATATCAACCAGATACTCTAGTAACACTGTATTTCCTAGCTTCTTCTTTTTTATTTAAGTTTATTTGTTTACTTACTTTTGAGAGAGAGAGAGAGAGAGAGTTAGTTGTGGAGGGGCACAGAGAGGGAGAGAGAGTGAGAATCCCAAGCAGGCTTCAGTACGGAGCCTGTTAACAGAGCTTGAACCCACGAATCACAAGATCATGACCTGAGTCAAAACCAAGAATTGGACCCTTAATTGACTGAGTCACTCAGGTGCCCCACCTAGCTTCTTCTTTTAAAGTACAAGCATATTCACTACATTATCTGCCTTCTAAGTTGTTTAAATTGATAAACTCACACACCATTGCAAGGCATGGGTTCATTCCAGCCTCCAGTAACAATTTCTTCACCAAACATCCCAGCACCAAAGCCAATGCCACATATTTCTGGTGTTTTTACTACTACTTTTTGTTGTTGCTATGGTAGCAACATACTTGTGGTTCCAGTTCCTTTTTTTTTTTAAGTTTATTTATTTTGAGAGAGACAGACATGGCATGAGCAGGGTAGGGGCAGAGTAAGACAGAGAGAAAATCCCAAGCAGGCTCCCCAGTGTCGGTACAGAGCCCAACACTGGGCTCGAACTCATGAGCTATGAGATAATGACCTGAGCTGTAACTAAGAGTCAGACACTCAACCAACTGAGCCACCCAGGCGCCCTGTGGTTCCAGTTCCTGTATCAGCTAACTATGCTGCAGTAGTAACAAACAACCCCCAAATCTCAGTGGCAACAGGGTTTCTTTGCATGTCACTCAAAATTAGATACTGCCCATAGGTTGGCTGTACATCTGTTCTCTACTATAGGACAGAGGCTGAAGGAACAGTCCCTGTTGTGGCAATGTCACTTCTGTAACAGGGAAAAGAGAGATGATGGAGCCATGTGGTAGTTCTTAAAGTTTCTGCTCAGAAGAGACTCAAATATTTCATTTGACAAAGCAAATTACATATCATTGGGAACAGAAGTATAATCCTCCCATAAGGACAGACTTGATAGAGAGGGGAAGAGAATATTTGAACAAACAATATATGTTCTCTTAAAACAATGTATCTGAAAATGCAAGGAAAAGCAATTTATACCCATTTTAATGCATTTTTAAATTGATTCCATAAGTACAGAACATCTAATCAATTTAATATATAGAACCATCAAAAGAATAAGTCAGCTCCATATTTACATACAAATATAGGTATATAATATCTCTAAAAAAGATAAACAAACATGTCAGTGTTTGTTCCTTAGAAGGAAGAGAACACTGACAAAGTATATGTTTATAACAGAGATCTGTTTTTCACTATATACTCATCGGTAACATTTGAGTTATGTAATTAATGCTTATGTTGCCTAGTAAGAATAAATTAATTTAGAAACCTATTACATGAAAATCATGATTCATAAAAGGAAAAAACTGATAAATTGTACTTCATTAAAATTAAAAGTTTTCGCTCTGGGAAAGTTGTGTGGAGATGGTGAAAGACAACCATACAGTCTTTCAAATATCTTTGAAAGACATTTGATATCTATGATTTGATATCAAATATCAAATCTTTCTCAAATATTGAGAAAATATTTGCAAATGATACATCTGACAAAGAAGTGGTATCTATGGTGCTTAAAGACCATGCAAAACTCAGCAAAATAGGGGTGTCTGGGTGACTCTGTCAGTTTAGTGGCCGACTTTGACTCAGGTCACGATCTCACAGTTCGTGAGTTCTAGCCCCTGACAGCTCAGAGCCTGGAGTCTGTTTCAGATTCTGTGTCTCCCTCTCTCTCTTCCCCTCCCCCACTCATGCTCTTTTCTCTCTCTTTCTCAAAAATAAACATTAAAAGGCTTTTTAATTTAAGAAAACCTTGGCAGTATAAAATGCAAACAGCCCAATAAGAAGATGGGGAAAATATATTGTACCAAAGTAGATATACAGGTATCAGGTAAACCCATAAAGAGATGCTTGACATCATTTGTCATTAAGGCAGTGCAATTTAAAACTGAAATGAGGTATCCACTACATACCTATCAGAATAGCTAAAATAAAAAATAACACCAAATGTGATGAGTATGCTAGAGAAACCAGACCACTCATACTTGGTAGTAGGAATGTAGTGATATAATCACTATAGAAAATTCCTGTTCCTTAAAAAACTAAGTATAGAGCTACCATAGCAATTACACCTTTGAAACTGATGTTCGCACAAAAATCTGTACATGAATATAAGAGTCAAAAACTGGAATCAGCCCAAGTCACCTTCAACAGGTAAATGGCTAAACAAACTTGTGGCACATACATAATACGGAATACTATTCATCAGTAAAAGTAAACCATTTGATTCATGCAAAAACTTGGACAGATTCCCAGATAATTATCCAGAGCCACAAAAGCCAACCTCAGAGCTTACATACTGTAAGATCTCCTTTACATAACATTTTTGAAATAACAAAATTTTAGAAATGGAAGACAGATGACAGTTTGCCAGGATTTAGAGATAGGAGATTGGCAGAGACAGAGGGAAGCGGGTGTGGTTATAAAAGGGTCCTTGTGGTATTGGATGTTCAGCATCTTGCTGGCACTGCATACATGAACCTACACTGATAATAAAATTGTCTGGAATTTAATACACACAAGGACATACACGTGAGTACAAGTAACATTAAGGAAATCTAAATAACATTGGTGGATTATATCAGTGCCAGTATCCTGTTTTTGTCTTGTCATTAAGGGAAGCTGGGTGAAAATATACAAGGCATCTCTCTATATTTTTTTCTAACAACTTCATATGCATCTACAATTATCCAAATAAAAAATTCAAAAATATTAAATTGGAAATAAAATCTGTTAGTCTATAGTATGATAGCTGCCTCCCCAATTGCTGATATAAAGGAATTGACTTCAAAATGATTAATAATTTATCTTGTAATCCAAAAAGGAGGAAATAAATCTGTCTGGATCTATTAAAGCATCAGGGAATACTGAATGAGAACACATTACATGAGAAAATCGTTGCTGAAACCCGAATTGAAACATTTTTGAAAGCACATACCAAACAGAAATCTTGTTGTCATGGCCTGATAGAAATGAGAAAGTTCTTCAAAGTCTTAGTAAAAAAGTAGACCCTGGACAGTAAGTGGCTTTAGGATCTTATCCGTTGACTGTTGTAGGTTTGATTTTCCATAGAAGAATTAAGTCACAGCTGTATTGTTGAAGTGGTTATATTTTTCACATTTAGTTTCATTACAACTCATTCTCAAGAGGGCAAAAGTAGAGAATATTCTTCATACGCAAATGTTGCTGGAATATTTTCCTCTCATATTATTTGTATGTCTCACTGTCTCTGTTTATAATTTGTATTTCTTCTTACAGAACATGGGAGAGTTGCAATGAAAAAGTTGTTTGATGAATTAAAAGCTTCTACAGTTCAGTAGGAGGTTATATAAAACCAAGATCTGCAGAATTTATGTAGGAGTATAGTTTTAAATAGTATTTTCTACCATTCTATTACTGATTTGTAAATTGTAGCTTTCAACCTTTTCTAATAAAACATTTGTATCTAATGTCCCACAGTTTGCCTTTATATATCATAACTAAAAGCCTATAACTTGCTAACAACTTCTGAACTTTTTGAGTTTTTATTCTAATAATATCTACTTCATTATTAATAGATTCCCAAATCAGAGTATATCAAGCAATAGCAAGATTAAGGTTTTTATTATCAATATCGAGAACAAATAACATATCTTGGAAAAAATTTAAAATATATAGTACTCTTTGGTAATATGGATAAATGAATTGATGTTGATATTTCATTAATCAGTTATTTAAGTAAAATCTGTTCTCTTCTACTTTGACTCCTTGTCAGATTAAGAAATCATACTTTTCAGTATTTTTAACTAATTTGATATATGATCCTTCTCAATTCTGTATGGATGTATGTCTTATTATATCTTTGAACTTCCTCAAATTAGAAAGAAAGATGTTTAACAGTATTAAATTATTATTTGAAATAATTATTCTGTAAAGCTCTCAAATGATCACATTTTGTATTTTCAAAGGAAAAAAGATTAATGTGCAACATATACCACATTTTGTAAGCAACATGGTTATTGAGCTAACAGACAAGGAACAAAAAAGACTACTAAAGAAGCTTCCAGTTGATGATGAGCCATAAAGATACTTCAGTTGCCTTCTAGAATACTTAGCTTTATGATATAATGGAAAAAGTTTTAAAAGTTCTCTTTTAGGGGTGCCTAGGTGGCTCAATTGGGTGCCCAGCTCTTGATTTCGGCTCAGGTCATGACCCCACCGTTCATGAGACTTAGCCTTCATCAGGCTCTGTGCTGGCATCATGGAGCCTGCTTGGGATTCTCTCTCTCTTTTCTCCCTAGCTCTCTCTGCCCATCACCCACTCCCCCCACTAAAATATATAAACAAAAATTTTTTTAAAGTTCCCTTTTAGCATTTAAAAAATATATATTTAAAGTAATTAGAAAGGACAGATTTTGAGTTATATCTATATCTCTATCTCTCCATGTAACTCAGGCCATCAGGGGCAAAAAATGTTTTCATGTCATGTCCTCTAGCCAATGACAAAACTATAAGGAAAAAAATGAAGGAATGTGATTAGGGGAGAGAATTTTAGAAGAATTGGACAACAGATCAAAGGATAAAGAAACAACAGCATAGAGAGCCTGTCAACTGGCAGGTGTTTAGAATTGCATAATTGTTATTGAAAAAGCTCTTGCATCCTGTCTCTTTTTGTTGTTGTTATTGTTGTTATTATAGGATGAATAAGAACATATTTACTCAGTAAATGAAAACTCTCCCTGAAATTATGGAATATATGTATTATCTTTCTGAGCATCTGTATAATATTTTGTCTGACATAGAGTGTGATTTGCATTGTAGCTTCTGGAAAGGTCTATCAAAATAGATTGTTGGATGGTCTGAAGTCTTTCAAAGGTGAGTTAATGAGCAGTTTGAGATTTAACATCTTAATTTATATCATTAGAGCTTTACCCAAGCCATCCCTTTATGAACTGATTTTTTAAATGTTTTTTTTTTTTTAATTTATTTCTGAGAGAGAGAGAGAGCGTGAGCAGTGAGCAGGGGAGGGTCAGAGAGAGAAGGAGACACAGAATCCAAAGCAGGCTCCAGGCTCCGAGCTAGCTGTCAGCACAAAGCCCGATGCGGGGCTCGAACTCACAAACCGTGAGATCGTGACCTGAGCCGAAGTCGGACACTCAACCAACTGAGCCACCCAGGCGCCCCAAACTGATTTTTAAATGTCGTTTCTTTATTTTAAAAGAAGAGGTATTTTGTGATGAATTTTTTAAAATCTTTGTAGGTCCCACTTTTTTTGTATTTTTCACAACTTAATCTTGAAAGTATAAATTGAAATCTAGGTAGATCATAACACAGAAGATGAAGTGAACCATAGGCAGTTAGTCTGAGAATTAATTAGGCAAACAAAGAAAATAAAAACAGTTTCTATTGTCAGAAAGATTGGGCATTGTTTCCTGATAGAATCAAAATCATAAATTAATGTTCATTATGATTCCTCTAAAAAGAATGGTTTTTTAGCGAGATTCAGTTAAGAAAAAAAAAATGTAGGCGAAGGCACCAATTTGTGCCTAGGATTGGTTTTGTTTTGCTTTCCCTCCCAGTGCTTAGTCCGAAGGAGAAGAACATAAGGAGAATGAAGAAATGATTTAAAAGCTCTGCCACTTGTTACCTATTGAGAGCGAGGAGTCGCCTGTCAAAAGAAGAATGCCTCTTTGCATTCCTAGGCCCTTCAGAAGAGTGGCAGCAGGATTATTGTGGGGAATAAGTTTAGTGATCTCTTGGGCTTACACCAATGGGTTAACAAGGCATAAAGAAGTACCAAGCCATGTGATGCTCTCACCCGAGAATGGGTAAACAAGATTAGCACCCCAGAATAGGGACCTGCAAAGGCACCCCAGAATAGAGAGGGAGGGGCAAAGGCCCCAGAGTAGAGAGGGGTGCTAAGGCACCCAATACAAAGGTATATGAGGTATGCAAGATTAGGCATTCAGGGCAAAGCGGCCCCCAATTTAGAACTATAGCAGAAAGCTGCTTTCACAGGAAGGAAGGTTCAAATGAGGTAAGCACGTAAATAGGGCTATAAACCGCTGCACAGCACTGCGGGTGATGCTGCCCAGAGTGGAGCTGATTTACAAAAGAAAAGGTGTTTTGTTAACCTTAAGGTTATTTGCCCAATCTCTTGTCCCCTAGGCTAGCTAAGATAAACAGACACAGCGCCTCCTGTCTGCCTTCACAACTATCTGCCCATCTGCCCGGTGCCAGGATTTTGACCCAAACCCCAAACACTGTCTATCTTCAAAGCCCCTTTCCCTCATGCCCATGATTTGATGTTCACCAATTCATTGTCTCTCTGTGCATGCCCATCATGTTTGTAAGCCTTCTGATCTTTATAAATATGGGGCAAGGACGCTTATTTGGGGCTCTTGCCTCCTCCCGGACATTAGCCATTTCTCGTTTTAATCCTGTGTCCCTATTTCTTGCTAAGACAAGAAAGAACTTTAGATTTAGAGTCTACGACAGATTATTTTTTAATTTAACATGGAAATTGTCCACCATCCTGCCTATCGATACCATCTTGCTTTGTGTCTTTATCAACTAAATCAAGTGTCATCTTAAAAACGAGATGATGGGGGTGCCTGGGTGACTCAGTAGGTTAAGCATCCGACTTCAGCTCAGGTCATGATCTCACGGTTTGTGGGTTCGAGCCCCTCGTCGGGCTCTATGCTGACAGCTAGTTCAGGACCTGGAGCCTGCTTCAGATTCTGTATCTCCCTCTCTCTCTGACCCTCCACTGCTCATGCTTTCTCTCTCTCTCAGAAATAAATTTAAAAAAAACATTTAAAAAAATTTTTAATGAGATGATAGTCAGATACTTGTATTGTCAGCCTCACTGTAGTTCTGTTTCCCCATCTATCCCCTTTTTCCAGTTTCTAGGCCTCCTGTTTTATAATTTTAATGATAAATTTTCCTTTCCATGCATTCCCAGCCTCAGCTCCTGCTTCAGCTTCAGAACATTTTTAACTAAATTTTTAACATTTTAACTAAAGCCCTCTCTAAACTACCATGTTAGGTAGTTTACAATATAATTATATATTCTTTTTAACTAATACCAGTAGCTTCATATCTTAAAATATTCTCCCCAAAAATCTGTGTTCATAAACTGTTTTCACAGCATGGATAAGCCAGGCTTAAAATAATTGTCAAGTTCCAGTGGAAAGCAGTACAAGTTTTCTGGCAACTGAAAATTTTTTTCAAAATCTTTTTCTACTACAAATTCAGTTAGGTGTTTTGAGCTTCAGTTGCAAAACCCCTTTATAAATTATTTCTTGTCCATAGTTTCATCAAGGTAAATCTTAAGGTTCTTTAACACAATGTTAAAATAGAGTTTGGTACTCATTTTTCAAAGCAAGATTAATAGCACTGAAAAAAAGACTCTATTTTTCCTTATTCCTAGTTTTTTCATATTAATAGTAAAAATATTTTTAATACAGTAGTAACAGCACTATTAGATTTCTAGTATTTAATGTTCTTTCATATTTTAATAATTTTTGTTATTCTTTATGCCTCTTTCCTAAGGAGGGAAGGTTGAAAGAAGTAAAGTCAATACTGTTCTAGAAAACATGGGAATCCAACTCACAGGAGAGGAACTTCAAAGTCTAACAGATAACCTACCAGTTAATGGTGAGCTCTGTGGTTATTACTCTGCTTTTCTGCAGAGCTTTGCCTGTGAATGTGCATAGGAGAATTTTTGATATTAGGATTATTTGATGCTAAAAGGAAATGTGACTATCTTAGAGTAGAACTCATTCTAAAATGAAAAGAAATCCTGCATCGCTTTTTAAAATTTAAAGTTATCAACATGTTTTCTTATAGAAACCAGAGAAGTCAGAATGTTTGTCTGAGGAATAGTCAGAATGTAGAATACACATTTTATGGATTAAGTTTAAAAGTGATCATATGCTTGCTAAACCTTCATTTCTTAACTCTTCCAATCCTGAACCATTTGCTTTTTTTGTTTGTTTTACATGTTCTCCCTGAGTGATTTTATGAATTCTCACTTTTAACTATTTATTTGAACCATCAGTTATATACTTTCCAGTCTTTTCTCCAATCTTCAAACTATTTTATTCTAAATCTTATATGACATTTCTACTTAGTCCACCCCAAATAGCTGCTCAAAGATAAAATTTATATATTCTACATCTTCTTAAACTGATCATCCTTTTCTCTACCTCATTGACTCTGCCAAAAACCTCCATCCACTTAATTACTTTATGCTGCCTATTTAAACTCCTAAATATTTTCAAAATCCATTCCTACTCTTTAGCCCTATATCACTACCCTTATTTCTATTTCGTTTTCTCTCTTCTTAGACTGCCAGATAACTCTCTCTCTGCCTATAATTTTTTTACTTTTAAGTCCACTCTACACACAGTGGACAGAATGATCCATTTCTATGTAAATCTGTTCATAACTATTTGGGGTTTCTTTCTCCTTGTCTTCCTCTCTTCTACTTTTCTGTACTTTCTTTCAAAAAGTTGAAGTAACTCAAGGCTCAGATGGGTTCTCTAAGTGATCTTACCTACTTTTTGAGCTCTGACTTCTATCTGTCTGATAATGAATCACTAATATATATTCCAAACCTAAAACTCTCCTTGAATCTCTATTTGGTTTATTTATGACCTATTTGCAGCCTCCACTTGGAGAGCTCCAATAACCTGTAACTTACCTTGTCTTAGTCTGAGCTCTTGATTTTCCTACTAAAAGCCATTCCTTCCCAGTATCATTGCAAGGATAAATTACATCACCACTGTAATTTGTCTTGTGATGTCTTTGTCTAGCTTTTGTATTTAAGTAGCACTAGCCACATGGAATGATTTGTATTTTTTCCACTTCTGTTTTCTGAAATAATTTGTGTAGGACTGATATTATTTCCTTAAATATTTGTACTAATTTACCAAAGAAGCCCTCTAGGCATAGTCCCTTCTCTTTGAGAAAATTTCCAATGCTTAATTTTCTTATCTATTATCACACTATTCAGATTTTCTGTTTTTTTCTTGATTCAATTTTGGCAGTTTGTGTCCATTTTGGAATCTCTTTCATGTAAGTTTAATTTCTGACATAAAGTTGTTCATAGTATTCCCTCTTTAGCCTTTAAATTACTGTTAAGTTCAGTGGGTCAGTCCTCTCTTTCATTACTAATTTTAGTCATCTATGTCCTTTCTCATTTGTTTTTGGTTAGTTAATTATGTTGATGTTTTCGAAGACTAAACATTTGGTTGCATTGATTTTCTGTGTCATTTTTCTCATATCCACTCTAATCTTCAGTATTTTCTTCCTTCTGCTTGTCTTTGGTTTGGCTTGCCCTTACTTTCCTAGATTAATTTAAAGACTTAATTGTTGATTTGAGACCTCTCCTTCTCTAACATAATTATTTCAGACTATAAATTTTACTCTAAGCACCACCTTCACTGTGTTCCACATATTTAATTTTTATTCAGATAAAAATACGTTCTAATTTCTCTTGTAATTTCTTCTTTGACTCATGGGTTACTTTGAAATGTGTTTCAAAGAATTTCTGAATTTCTACATTTCCTTTGGTTCATTTCTAATTTACTCTGTTGTGATCAGAGAGCATACTTTGCATGCTTTCAATCTTTTAAATTTTATAACACTTGCTTTATGATTTAACATACAAGATAATCAGAAGCTCTTTGGAGTCTCCAAAAGCTTTTAAGAATGTAAAGGGATTCTATGACCAAAATATTTTATTTAGAGCCTCTTTTTTTTGATAATTCTAACATTTGAGTCATCCAAGGGTTGACATGTGTTGATTGCTTTTTCACTTGTTAAGTGATCTCATTTTCCTAGCTTTATGTATGTTAAATAATTCTGAATTGTATCCTCAATGGTGTTGACTATTCTGTTGTGTAGACTCTGGGTCCTTTAAAATTCTTTGAAGAATGTTGGTGGGTTTTGTTTTAGCAGGTAATCAACTCCCTGAGATTCAGAACACAAATTCCATCTTCCATTTCTCTGGATGATTCCAGTCTCAGTTCATTTTACAAAGCTTTGTTTTACTGCTATGGATCTGTCTGGCATGTGCCATTTGGGTTAGTCTGAGACTTGGGCCCTGGTTTAAATCTTAACTCCGTTCTCAAAGCCTTTGCTACAATGCTTTCTTTGTATCCATCTCGTGCATGCACAACTCAGAAGTGAGCCCAAGACTTTTACACAGAATTAGGTGATCCCTTTCTCCATTGTCCTCTCCTCTCTGGAATTACCCCATATTTTCCAACCTAAAAGGGCTTCTTTTCCAGGTTTTTAGAGAGATGGAGTTTTTATCAGTCTTAGCTTCCAACTCCGCCATGCAGTTTTGTTATTGGGGCCCCACCCCTAGGACAAAGCCATTAGGGAAAAGAGAAAGAAAACAAAGCCAGGAGGCTCGCTGCCCTTGCCAGTCATTTGTGCAAGTTTTGGTTCTCTTCTATAGTCTAGTGTTGTTGCTTTTGTGTTTTCTTTAGACTTTTAGTCTAATCAGGGAAAATAGGCTGTACAGAGCTGATATGGTCATGGCAGAATCAGAATCAGCCTCATATTTCATTATTTTAAAAATATACAAAATCATGAATGAAAATGGACTTATTACAACCAACCCCTCAGAAATACAAGCAACTATCAGGGAATACTATGAAAAATTATATGCTAACAAATTGGACAACTTAGAAGAAATGGACAAATTCCTAAATATACACTCACTACCAAAATTCGTATGGGAAGAGAGACAATCTGAACAGACCCATAACTAGTGAAGAAATTTAATCAGTTATCAAAAATCTCTCAACAAATAAGAGCCCTGGGCCAGATGGCTCCCCTGGGGAATTCTGCCAGACATTTAAAACAGAATTAATACCCATTCTTCTCAAGCTATTCTAAAAAATAGAAATCGAAGGAAAACTTCTGGATTCATTTTATGAAGCCAGCATCACTTTGATTCCCAAGACAGACAGACCCAGCAAAAAAATAGAACTATAGGCCAATATCCTTGATGAATACAGATGCAAAAATCCTCAACAAGATACTTGCAAATGAAATCCAACAGCACATAAAAATTATTATCCACCATGATCAAGTGGGATTCATTCCTGGGTTACAGGGCTGGCTCAATATTCACAAATCACTTTACACAATTACACAATCACATTAACAAAAGAAAAGATAAAAACCATATGATCCTGTCGATAGATGCAGAAAATGCATTTGACAAAATACAGCATCATTTCCTAATAAAGACCCTCGAGAAAGTCGAGATAGAAGGAACTTACTTAAACATCATAAAAGGCATCTATGAGAAGCCCTCAGCTAACATCATCCTCAATGGGGAAAAACTGAGTGCTTTCCCCCTGAAATCAGGAACACGACAGGGATGTCCACTCTCACCACCTTTGTTTAACATAGTGCTGGAAGTCCTAGCATCAGCCATCAGACAACAAAAGGAAATAAAAGGCATCTGAATTGGCAAAGAAGAAGTCAGCCTTTCACTTTCGCAGATGACATGATACTCTACATAGAAAACCCTACAGACTCTACGAGAAGCTTACTAGAACTGGTCCATGAATTAACCAAAGTTGCAGGGTACTAAATCAATGTACAGAAATCAGTTGGATTTTTATACACCAATAATGAAGCAACAGAAAGAGAAATAAAGAAACTGATCCCATTCACAATTGCACAAAAAACCATAAAATACCTAGGAATAAACCTAACCAAAGATATAAGACATTTGTATGATGAAAACTATAGAAAACTTATGAAAGAATGGAAGAAGACACAAAGAAATGGAAAAACATTCCATGCTCATGGATTGGAAAAATAAATATAGTTAAAAAGTCGTTACTACCCAAAGCAATCTACTCATTCAATGCAATCCCACTCAAAATTGCACCAACATTCTTCTCAAAGCTAGAACAAACTATCCTAAAATTTGTATGGAACCACAAAAGACCCTGAATAGCCAAAGTAATATTGAAGAATAAAACCAAAATGGGAGGCATCACCATCCCAGGCTTTAGCCTCTACTACAAAGCTGTCATCATCAAGACAGTATGGTACTGGCACAAAAACAGACACATAGACCAATGGAATAGGATAGAGAACTCAGAACTGGACCCACAAATGTATGGCCAACTAATTTTTGACAAAGTGGGAAAGAGTATCCAATGGAAAAAAGACAGTCTCTTTAACAGATGGTGCTGGGAGAACTGGGCAGCATCATGTAGAAGAATGAAACTAGATCACTTTCTCACACCATACACAAAAATAAACCCAAAATGGATAAAACACCTGAATGCGAGACAAGAAACCATCAAAATCCTGGAGGAAAAAGCAGGAAATAATCTCCATGACCTCAACCGCAGCAATTTCTTACTTGACACATCCCCAAAGGCAAAGGAATCAAAAGCAAACATGAACTACTGGGACCTTATCAAGATAAAAAAGCTTCTGCACGGCAAAGGAAGCAATCAATAAAACTAATAGGCAACTGATGGAATGGGAAAAGATAATTGCAAACAACATATCAGATAAAGGGGTAGTATCCAAAATCTATAAGGAACTCACCAAACTCCACAGCTGAAAAACAAACAGTCCAATGAAGAAATGGGAAGAAGACCTGAACAGAC